GGTTGTTCAATCATGGAGAAGCTGTCATCGCCTTTCTAGACCATCACATCATCAGCACCAACTTCAGTATGAAGCGAGCTGTCAGTATCTCTCCGCGAGTGATTTAGCAGCTTAACCCGACCAAATGCTTTTTCATTGGTTATTTCCTTTGATTGTTGTGTCACTGAGTGACTGTAGAGATTTCCTGTTGTCTCCTCCTCTGATTGACCTCTCACCTTTCTGTCGTTTATCATCTTTCTCATTAGTCGGTAGACTGGGTTCTATGTCTATACATCCATCTATTGATTGCTGACTGACTGATGTGAATGTCAAGCTTCTAGGAATTCTCTAATATTTTTAGTGTTTCCTCTCTCCATCCAAGATTTGTACATAGTTAAAATGGAATTCGTGCCCATAGTTATCCACGTTGATTATAGTCAGTGGATGAGATGTTATGTGTGAGGTTTAATAGCGAATTGATGTTCTCATGTAGATGAAGCGGAAGTTGGGCGACCACTTTGTTCAATGTAGTGTTAACTACAGTTAGTTATTGCAGTTGATTTTGTAAATGATATTTGATTTGTCTTCTTTGGTTGTTGCATCCTGTAGTCTGCATAAATGTTTGTTTTGATGAGTTGCCACACCAACTCAGAGTGGTCTCAGTAATCTTATTATGATTTCTGATACATGTTCTTTATGTATTGTAGGATGATGTGTTTGTTGATTTGTGTCGATGACTTTTTTTAGTTGATGATGTACAGGATAGGCATCTTGTGATAAAGTTTTGTGGGTAGTCGTTTTTCTTTAGGGTGGACATGAAGTAATTTTCTTCGTTTCCGTGTGAAGTTGTTATGCTGCAGTGTGTTCTGGTTCTTTTGAGTAGAGTCTGCATGCAACTAATTTTGTGGGTTGTTAGGTTGTTACAACTGCAGTTGAAGGTTTGGTCAGTCACCGTGTGTCGTCTTGCTGTACACTTGGGTTTCCAACTTTTTGGCATTTGTCCTGCTGACTTAAACATGCAGAAATGGTAGGTGGTTATTTGACTTCTCCATTGTGAATTTGATGTCATTAGTACTGAAGATGTTGTCTAGAAATATGATGAAAGCTCCACGACTAAACAACTCATCTCAGAGAACACTACACAACCATGACCATTCACCTGATCTACAAATATTCTCCACCATTTCTTCAACAGCACACACCCACATCTCTTCCCAGTCTCGAGTATATTACTTTGGGTGTAGGGATAAATGTTCACCTGTGGCATTGGTTTATGGTCACACTACGTCGTAGATCAATAACCGAAGGAAATGTCGACTACTAGATTTTGATGTAGTTGTTAAACGGTAACGTGCATGCAGGGAGACCTAATGGTTCTGTGTTTGATTCGTGTCGGAATCGTAGATGTGCATGGCCGAAGGGTCTCATGCTACGATGAAACAGCGGTTGTGTGCTCCTATCTTTTCAACGGTGAGCCAAGTAATTTCAGTTCATGATGAACACTACCTAGAAATTCTTGGTTTTATGACTTATTTAAACGGACGTCATATCTCGCACTTGGGGATAAATGCAATGTCTTTGAAAATTCTACAATTTCTGGTTTCATTTCTATCAGAAGGCAAGGAATAACATGCTATAGTTAACTGAAGTCATAACATTCATTTTGGTGACTAGCTATGGAATCCAGGACGCACCTTTTGTCGTAATTGAGACTCATGAGCTGGACGTGCCTGCACCTCAGTGAGTGATGATATTTCCATGGAGACCGAAACTCAGTAGGCACCGCTTCAAAAGCCAAAGCCTTTCCCACTGTGGTACGATAGCCAAGTCATGTGCAATGGGGCTATCAGTTGTTATTATGATACATATATGATTTCCCTTTCCTATACAGGGCTAAATTTCTTGACGTTTGTTTGCAGATGGGTTTCTATGCAAATGTCTTGATACTGCCAAGTATTTATGACTTCATATTCATATTATGAAACATGCGTCCATTGCTAGTCACCAAGATTAATATAACATCATGGTTATCCAGCAGCATCGAGGCATGCGTAGAGGAGGAGCCCATGTGTCAACGGAGGTCGATCGATTCAGCCCGATATAGTAACGGGAAATCACAAGTATGAAAACAGTGAAATTATAATAATTGTTCAACCCTTAATAAATTCCAATAGATTCTACATTGATACTGTTTTATGATTCAAAGTATCTGCTTAATAATTGTAATCTAAAAGCCATTTCATCGAGTAACCTACAAATATTTGAACTGATTTTTAACTCAGGTATTCTTTACGTTTTAGAAACAAAATGTATCTGAGCAGATAGCTGCTACCTTCATGTGGTTGGTTGATGAGTTGCCACAGGAATTCAGAGTTGTCCCAGTAATCTTGTTATGATTTCTGATGCATCTTTTTTATGTATGGTAGGATGATGCGTTTATTGATGTGTCGATGACTATTTAGTTGGTACTGTACAGGATAGGCATCTTCTGATAAGGTTTCGCGAGTAGTTGTTCTTTACGTATGATTTCTAAAAAGATGGTTTAGCGTTGAGTTCAATCAGAAAGCCCCAGAAAGTAAAATGACTTTCTAAGTGACCTCTTCATTATCTTGAAATAATGATGATGTCGTCTAGAAAGACGATGAAAGCTTCACGATTAAGCAATCCAGCTCAGAGAACACAATACAACCAAGACTTTTCATTATCTATCTGTTCCCCAGTGACTGAATCTACCAAGGTTTACTGAACTGTAAACATCATATAATGTTTACCAAGTTGTTTTCTTTTAATAACTAACAACATTTTGCATAGTTCTTGGGTGTTTTTTTAATGTTCTCTAATTTTCATTTCAAAGAGCATTTACATTTTCAGTTTGTATTAACTAAGTGAATTTCATCCAAAATTTATGCGCATCCGTGGTAAGAAATCAAAGTAAAACTGCTGTATCCCGGTTCCTTGCACTTGAATTACACCACATTAGTCACCTCTTGTTATCTGAATAAATCCTACAAAATGCTACTCAAAATAGCGTCAGTAATCCAATTTCTGTAACTATAACCACCCTTAATTGTCAAATACGTGATTAAAAGGTATACCTTTCGCTAAAATACTCAGAAGTTACTTCTTTGGAGAATGAACCGTTTAAACTTGAGTACAGACAAAGTATTAGTGAGTTTGCATTGATTGGTCATCATTTCTTTATATTTATACTTACCCTTTGGGTTCCTAATGGAATACAGAGCTTCACTAGCGCATCACCATTTCACTCTCTTCTCTCCACTCCTATCAACCTCGCTCCACGACTGCTCATAAACGTTCACTACATTCTTACATGATCTTCTTCATGTCATTACCGAACACACAACTCGTTGTCTCCTATTTCGGTTCCACTCGATGGCCTGTTCTCACTTGACGCGTGATGTCCTCAAACCTTATTCTCAGTCTATGTACAATCCACTCCAATCCAATCCAATGCAACCAATCGATCTCCACTTCCTTCTGATGCATATTTGTTGAACGGTATCTTCTTGCTTTGTTGTTTCGTTGGTTGGTTGGTTGGCTGGTTAGTTGGTCAGTCGGTTACCTGGTGAGTTGGTTAGCTGGTTAGTTTGTTAGTTGGTGGTTAAATGTTGGTTAGTTGTTTGTTAGTTATTGTTTAATTGTTGGTTACTTGTTGGTTACCTGTTGGTTAGTTGGCTGGCTTCTGTATCGTCATGTGCGCCTGCCAGTGTCCACTGTAGTTGAAACTATGCTGCGTAGGTGGATAGAAAGGTGGGTAGATAGGTAGGCAGGTGAAATAGACAACATCCATTAGATTTCTCCCGTTGAGGATGATTGGTACTTGTTGTTGTTGATCCAATCCTGTTCAGTCCAGTCCAGTCGACCACAATGAGGAAGATTATCGATGTTGGTAGGCGGCAACCTCATCTTACTTGTCAACCTGTCTTCACTTGAAAGGCATCACTGAGGTTTCCATTGTAAATCACTCGGTGTATAGGATGATGATCATATGTAGCTGTTGAATGAGTTTGATAAGGGTTTTTGGCAGTAAAAGCGTAGTGTTTAAGCAGGTGAGAAATAACTTCTGGTGTGAGTTGTTTGTCGAAGGGCTTGTGAAAGTGTAGTGTATGAAGTTGATGTGTAGAGTTGACTGTTATTCTGTGCTGTTTTCAATGATGATGCGTAGTGTAGTGTTGTAATTTGATGTGTATATGATTTGTTTTTCGTGAAGCGAGGTAGACTGTTTTGGTTGTATTTTAGAATGCAAAGCATTTTTAGTCTGTGGGATATGATGCTGCCCAATATGATATGTTGCCTGGGTTGGATGTGGTTTGAGCATGATTTCTCACCAGTTCTTACAAAGAATAATGTTACCCTTGTTTGTTAGTTTGACATGGTAGCCGTTCTTCTTTCAGTAGTATTTCTGGACGAGTTACAGATGGTATTGGTAGGTTTTGGAGGCTTTTGAAGTGATCAGCCCATTGTTTCCTTTGTTTCGCCTCTATGGTAACTGGATTGTTCACTATAGGAGAAGTGATTTCATTTGGTCTAACCTTGAGTGCTGACTGAATTTTTACCGGTCATTTTTACAATGTGACCACCAAGCTTATGGGTTTGTCATCATGGGTGCACTTTGATTAATGTTAGTTCGATGAAGACTGTCTATTGGAAGCCTTGGACCTAGGTTGGGTGCTTATTGGCACTCATTAACAAGGCGTTTCTTATGTTCCCTGTAAGATTGGAATGCATTTCACCCATTGTTGCAGTTAGAGACGTTATATTTACGCTTTAAATAGTCAAGTTGCACATCATTGATTTACATTTGAACTGATGATTTGTTTACAATGATAAATTTGAACAGTTTCGAAAGAATAGGTAAATGTTTGTGTAATACTCTTGTTCATCAACTTTTAAATCATTTTTCAGATTAAAAGTATCTTACTTCAGTTAACAAAGTACGGTGTATGTTATTTATAATAGTCCATCATTCATGTAACTTATTTTCATGTTTCTCTCTACAGTTAAACACAGTTTGATTCAACAGACTACATCTAGTCAACATCTTCATGATTTGGATATGGTTATTGCTCAACTTTCTGAAGTATGCAGTATAGTTGCAACTGTATTAATTGGATCAGATACAATTAAACCTGGTAAAAACTTTTCGGGTAAGTTATATATGAACTTATACAGTAATTATATCCATTCATTTGTGAACTGTGTAAGACACCATTCAATTTATATGAATAACAATTGAATTGGATGTCTATCTTGGATAATTTGATGAATATTGTTTCGTTGAAACCGTTCACATATGTAAAACTGAGAGTATTTGTTCTCTTGCTAGCAGAGTAAAACGACAGGACAAAAAAATTCCGTCAGGAAATAAGTGGAAGAAATATACTTAACTTATTGAAAACATAGTGAACCAGCAGTAACTGAGGTAATGCATGCCTATACATAATCTTCCAAACTTGAAGATCTACAGGCGAAAAACTAACAAGTTGGTAGAAGAGGCAGCGAAAAACGGACTTCAAGTGAACGTATAGAAGACAGAGGTGATGAAGATACCCAACCAATAACAACAACAACAAGCGCCAATCATCATTAACGGGAGAAACCTAAACGAAGTAGTCTCTTTCCCCTAACTAGCATCGTTCCAACTACAGGCTGCACAGACGAGGATGACAAAACCAGGATCGAAAAAGCAAGACAGGCCTTGGTGCTGTAATCTGTAATCAGTGTAGAGATCTACTGCAGTTAGCACAAAGCGTGAACATGATCCGGATTTTCAACATCAATATGAAGTCAATGCTGCTATATGGTTCAGAAACTTGGTGTGTCACAAAAAGCACTTCCAACAAACTACAGACATTCATCAACAGCTGCCGCCTACGATCACTCGATACTGAAGATGGAGATCAGATGGCGAGAAATAATAAGCAACAAGGAACTCTGGGAACGAACCAACGAAGCAAGAATCTATCGTCTAACAAATATACATAAGAAGAAAGTGGAGGTGGATTGGATTGGGCATACACTGAGAAGGCTGATTGGGCACATCACTCACCAGACCAGGCCATCGGATGGAACCCAAATGGGAAACGACGAGTTTGGCATCCCAGCTGAGGGTGATATGAAGGAGGTCGTATGAGGAAGAAATGAAAGCTTGTGGGCAGTCGTGGGGATAGGTTCAAAACACTACAGAGAACAGAGTGGAATAGAGGCGTGCTACTGAAGCCCTATGATCCACTAGGAACCTATGGGGAAAATAATAAATAATACAACATCTTTAGTAATAGGAAATATCACCTAGTTAGAGATTACTTGGAAGACGAAGATATGGTCATTTTTGAAGTTCATTTCTGAAAGCATCTTTAGCCATACTGATTAGTATATAAGTGAAAATGTTCGTTACACCAAAACTAATCAGTTATTTATCCTCTTTTATTTGAAAATCATCTACTTCATTTAATTTATTTCACAAAAATTGGTCAGTTTTGAGTTTAAACAATTTTTTTTTGATTGGGCATAATCTAGACAGTTCATTTATTGTAGGTGTTCTTAAAGCGAACTACCAGCCAAATATTATTACTCCCTTCATGAACTTAATAGTACCATGCATTCTATGGGAACGTCTATATCTCATAAAGTAACCTAGTGAAGTCTGTGTCTATTGGTCTCAGATGTTTAGAGCTATGAAGACTGTGTGACTGATTATTATTTGTTCCCTGTGTTCCTAGTGGAATACAGAGCTTCACTAGTGCGTCACCATTTCACTCTCTTCTCTCCAGTCCTATCAACCTCGTTCCACGACTGCTCATAAACGTTCACTACTTTCTTACACGATCTTCTTCATGTCATTACCGAACACACAACTCGTTGTCTCCTATTTCGGTTCCACTCGATGGCCTGTCCTCACTTGACGCATGATGTCCTCAAACCGTATTCTCAGTCTATGTACAATCCACTCCAATCCAATCCAATGCAACCAATCGATCTCCACTTCCTTCTGATGCATATTTGTTGAACGGTATCTTCTTGCTTTGTTGTTTCGTTAGTTGGTTGGTTGGTTAGTTACCGGCCACAGTTCCTGCTTGCTTATTCTTTCTCACCTTCTCATCTGATATCATCTGATCTGATGTGATCTTCAGTATGGCGTCATCGTAGGCGACAGGTGTTGATGATGTATGTGTGGAGTTTGTTTGAAATACCCTTCGTAACACACCAAGTATCTCAACCATCACATAGAAGCACTGACTTGACTTGACATTATTGTTGAAGATACGGATATTCTTGTTTATGCTGAGTGTAGTGTAGTGGAGTGGAGTGTAGTGGGGTGGAGTGGAGTGTAATAGATCTTCACACTGATTTGAGAATAATGAGGGCCTATGTTGCTGTCTTCCTTTGCAATGCTGGCTTTGATATAGTCATGTGTGCCTGCCTGTGTCACGTGTAGTTGAAACGCTGCTGCGTAGGTGGATGGACAGGTGGGTAGATAGGTAGCAGGAGAAATAGACAACTTCCTTTAGATTTCTCCCGTTCATAGTGATTGATGCTTGTTGTTGTTGTTGTTTGTTGGGTGGTATGTTCTTCACTTGTGTCTTCTCTACGTTCACCTGAATGAGGTCCTATCTTTGCTGCTTCATCTCGCCTTCTCTACCAACATGTTATTTTTCGCGTGTAGATCTTCGAGTTTGTGTGACATTAGACATAAATGATGATTGTCTAAATGGAAATCTTCTGGGGTCTTTCCGTTGGTCAAACAACGTGTGCAAACCTTCTCACTGCTCACAGTTTCTTGTATGATCCAGTCCAGTCCAGTTCAACGCTGTCGACCACACTCAGGAAGATTATCGATGTTGGTAGGCGGCAATTTTATCTTACCTGTCAACCTGTCTTCACTTGAAAGGCATCACTGAGGTTTCCATTGTAAATCACTCGGTGTATAGGATGATGATCATATGTAGCTGTTGAATGAGTTTGATAAGGGTTTTTGGCAGTAAAAGCGTAGTGTTTAAGCAGGTGAGAAATAACTTCTGGTGTGAGTTGTTTGTCGAAGGGCTTGTGAAAGTGTAGTGTATGAAGTTGATGTGTAGAGTTGACTGTTATTCTGTGCTGTTTTCAATGATGATGCGTAGTGTAGTGTTGTAATTTGATGTGTATATGATTTGTTTTTCGTGAAACCAATCAGGCTGTTCTTGTCGTAATGTTGAACTAGAGCATTTCTGTATGTCTGAAGGCTTCAGGATTTGGAAAACCTTTGATTAGGCAGTCTTAACAGTATAGTGGTCCAAGTTTTGACGAGATCCCTATCCCATGATGAATTTTACTTGACTTGATTAAAAGAATTTGAAAAGTTACTGCTCCATGATTTCACTGAGAGGTGAACTTTTTCAAATTGTAATCTTTATTAAACTTGTATCTGTGACGTAAATGCAACTACAAAGAGGAGTATTGACGGTTTTATGACGACTATCTGGCATCGGGTTAAATAGGCATTTTGTTTTCACTAACATGCTCATTTTTCACCTAATTTACTCAAATAGCCGTTAAAAGTTTGTTTTCAAATCTATATTTCAAATGTATTTATATTCAAAAGAGTGTCCTCCCTCATATGGATGAACGCATCTAATTTTATGCCAGTAGTCTTTCACACACTAGAGGTGAACGGGTAGTAGTAAATATTTATAATACCGATTATTCTATTATCCTTTTTCTTTCAGGTTTAAACTTGGATATCCTAATCATGAATTTAGTTAAAGGAGCTATCTATGATACTCCTCTTGCAAATCGTGGTGTCTTGAGTGGATTATTAGCTGCAGCCGGAGGTGGTGTTAATGCATTAATGGGTTTAATTGCAGCTGCAGGTGGAGGAGTTGAAGGACTAGCCAAATTATTGGCTACATCTGGAAATCCTGGAGAAGCTATTGGCGAATTACTCAGAAGTCTTAGTGACGATCCAGCTAAAGCTTTAAAAGAACTTGTCAATACTATGGGAGGAGGTGTAGAGGGGATTAAGAATATTTTGAATGCTTTGGGTAAAGATAAACAAAAAGCTTTTCAAGAGTTAATTCAACAAGTCGGTGGTGGAGCTGATGGTCTTAAAAATTTATTTCAATCATCTGGAGGTATTAAAGAATTGATGGAAGGTTTATTTGGTGAAGGCGCAGAAGGACTTGCTGGCCTAATAGCAGTTGCTGGAGGAGATTTAGAAGGTCTAAGAAATTTGATTGAAGCTGCTGGTGGTGGAGTTCAAGGGATAAAAAATCTTATTACACTAGGTGGTGATGAAGTGACTGGTTTGAAAAATCTATTAAGTGCCATTGGAGGTGATAGTGTGGGTAAGTGGGTTATTATAACTTGCATTGTAAAACTGGTTTTTGTTGCAGTCTTGTGTGTGTGTGTGTGTGTGTGTGTGTGTGTGTGTGTGACAACAAGGCACTTTTATGAACCAGTATCAATTCGACTTGTATTCCCTAAGTGTCATCTTAACAAGCCTTTTATTAAGGTGTTCATTTATCACAGTTTAAGAAAATGAAAATTGACCCCTCAATGTTGAGCACTTGAAGTCAATCGACGGAAAATGGTTAGCGTTGCTCTTTAGTTAATTTCATATTAGATTTGTTTATTTGATATAAAGCGCACAGTGATACAGTATTATTTAATTGATTACGTTTCGAGCATAAATTATTGCTCATAATCATATCAATGTAATCACACTTCTTTCGACATCTGATTTTATAGTCCTGTCACCTGATCTCTCTTTGTTTTTTTGTTTTTTGATTGGTAGTAAAGTTTTTCATATCTCTGGTATAGGTGTTGCGTCATTCCTATTACATGTGTTGGGTGTGGATTCGATGAACAAAGATTCAGTAATTAATCTCTCTCTCCACCTAGCTATATTAGACTTAAGTACAGTGGTTTTGTCCCATCCACCCTATTGTGTGGTTGTGTGTTAATGAATGTAATGCAATGGCCGAGTGTTTTTCTAGGTTATTGATCTTATTGGGGTCTGCCGTTCTATGTTTAGCTAAATTCCTATGTTCTGTTAATCTAACTGACCCCGACCGGCTAGTTTGACCTATGTATTTGACTTCACAGTCATTACATAGAATTTGGTAGAGTATATTATTTTGCTTAATTGGTTCTATCGGATCTTTTAGCCGACACAGCTTACCTCTAAGTGAGTTTGTTGGTTTAAATGCCACCCTAATTCTTTAGTTCTTTAGTTAATTGTTAAGACATATCTATAACCTTGACAAACCATATTTCCTATCATAGCTACTAGCGTACATCATTTAGTGACAAAGTCAGGAATTCTACCAATCAATAAACCTCAACGATTATATGCTATAACTGACTGAAGAAATGAAGATAACGATCTCAGTAAAGCATCATTTATTCTCAAAACTACTCAGAGCTCAAAATACACGAGGTTAGTGAACCTATCATCCTTTGTCTTCTATTCTGCAGTGGAAAGAGAAAACTGATTGATCGTTACAGATGGTTGTAATTATTTTATTTATAGGAATTGGCCTGAATCGAAATCAGTATTTTTCTAGTTAGTAACCGCCATGATAAAAGTTTTACATTTCAACCTTGGTTACAGGTTTATTGTATGGGCGGTGAGAACTTGCTGAACAATTTTGTCCTTCAGGCTGACCAATGAGAAAAAGAATCCAACTTTCACCTAATGGCTTTATTAATTGGGGGAAAACTGTATATGGATTGACTTTAAAGGCCACCCTAGCAACTGATGGAATTACTAATTGCATCCTTTTATTTTATGGAAAATTACTTTCCTAGGCGAAATACTGAAACCTGATTGGCCATTTCAGTAGTTGCTAAGGCGGCCGTCAAAGTAACCTATGTTTTTTGTCAAAGAAAGTTGTATTCCTTACAGTAACAGATCGGTCTTTGTCGTCTTATTTTCTCAGGTCAGTGAAGTATCAGGTTGTGAGGGCGACTAGTCGCCATTCTTATGCAGTTGAGGTGTCTTATTGTGTTATTAGCATTTGAAACAGTTAGTCCCTTTTATGAATTTCGATAGCGTAATTGGAAGACGAAGTTTATCTGAGCAATATGATGTATTTGCTCAATACATTTCGAACAATCTGATGACACATTTACTTGTCAAGTCAGTATATATTAAACCGAGGACTGGGAGGGGGGATAAATACAACAATTAACACAATAGGGGATTAAAATTAAGAAAGATGAGGACAAACAGGAAGTGACATAGTCGGTCCTAATCTTGATAAGAAAACAAAGTTTACCGAGGTAGGTGTAGTATAATAACAAACTGTTTTTGTACACATAAAGGTGGTTTAAATTTGTGTATGGCTATGGCTTCCTCAAATCTCAGAATACGTCCCTGACTGTTTCTCTATAAAACTTTAAACGCTGTTTGAACATTAACTTTGTGACCTGATATGTTTAGCTATAGATGAAGAGGGTCATCTCCCACCAGCGTTTATCACTGTTTCACACTCCATTTGTTTTTGAAGCCATTTAGGCACATGTTCTTCCACCCTCAACTGCATAACTCGATTACTCTTCCCTATGTATGTGTGATCACACACACATGTAAATTGGTAAACCCTGTATAGAGTTGGCTTTGGTGCTACTCGACCTCTACAACGGTTTATAAACTTTGTCGGATATCCATTTCCCATAAGTGTTTCGGTCAGTAATTTGATGTCTTCATTCATCGCATCTAAGTGTACTGGTACGATAGATCCTATTAAACAGGCATTTTACTAAACCTCGCTTGTATTGGATTGGACAAAAACTGTAGAAATTCAGGTATTGTCCTGTCCATGTAGGTTTTCTGTAAACTGATCGTCTTATTGAACCATCTTCTCGTCGACTGAGAAGTATATCTAGGAATGGCAGTTGATTACTATTCTCTTTCTCACATGTCAGGCTGATTTTATGTTTGTACGGTGTTAAGTCTATTTAGTAGATAAGCCATATCCTCATGCATCTCACAAATCACTATGATGTCATCAACATATCACTTGTAAAGAGAAACTTTAGGGATGAGATCACCAGCCAGATTTTCAATATATGACATATAAATATCAGCCAGTAGTAGTCCTAATGGACTACCCATAGCTACACCGTCAACTTGTCGAAAGCGTTCACCTTCAAATGTGAAGTGGACTTTGTTACAGCTGTGTTTATTTACCATTTTTAAACTGTATGTGCAATCGGATTGCACACAGTATTTACTAATTATCGTATTTGTCAAGTTCGGCGATAGAAAGAAGATCAATAGATTACGATCAGACTTTAAAGATGGAGAACTAAATTAGTGGGAGACTTTAAAGGCCACCCTATCAACGGCCAAAATAACTAATTAGGTTTCTTCGTTTTAGCTGGAAAAACCAGATTCTCATAGAATATCTAGGTTTGATTAGTGATTCCAATTGTTATTAGGTTGGCCTTTAAAGTCACTCACCGTCCACCATTTACTTCAAATATGGAAATCTTATGAAATTCAGTTAGTTTTGACTAAAATCCTCTCTTAGAATGATTATTTAAGTCTATGAAACTTCGAGTATGTATGATAACAAAAAGCAATGTGAAATAAAGTTCAAGATAAAGTGAATGTAACAAATAATTGAAATCAAGGTGATCCCTTCCACTGGACCATTGTATTCTTTATCAGTCGAAGTTAATTTACTTTCATACAGAGTTGCATTCAGTAATTAACCGACAAATACACAGAAGAAAGTGGAGATGGATTGGGTGATACACTGAGGAGGCCATTCGGAGAAATCAGGCGCTAGACCAGGACGTCGAGTGGGACCCATAGGAGGAACGACGAGTTGGGTGTCCCAGCTGAGGGTGACATGGAGAAGATGGTGTGAGGAAGAAGTGGAAAGTTATGAGCAGTCGTGAAGTCAGCTTCAAAAGACTGTAGAGAACAGAATGAAATGGCGACGTGCTACTGAAGTTTTATATTTTACTAGGAACCCAGAGAACAAATAATTAAAATAGTACAGAGTTACTCTAGAAGTCATCCTAACAACTACTGAAATAACCAATTACAGTTCTGTTTTCCAGTCGAAGTAAACAAAATTGGTTTTTTGTAGTGATTGCTAGACTGATCTTTAAATTTACACCTATACGTATCTATCTATTCAATTAGTTGTACTGATGTTAAATGAATAAAACGAAGAATTTCTAGGCTTTATGACAAATTTTTAAAAAAAATATTGTTTTACTAATCTCCAGGATTCTCATCTTAAGTTACTGCATAAATTTCTTTGAATACAAATTCTAATTTCTGGTTGAATTTGATTGCCTTCATGTTCACGTGTTGTCATTACCAGTTGCACCTCTTTCAGTGTACAAATATTCTTTGATTAATGCGCATCAACCTAGATTTCTAGAAGTTACATGACTAGGTGACGATCCTAAACACTCAGTTTCTTTAAACTTGAAAATATGTTTATTTGAAGGCTACTGTTGGCGGAGAATTTATGCTCGTATAACAAGAAGTGGTGTTTCGAAAAAAACCATCAAAAGCTCAGAAACCAACGTGATAAGAAGTGTGTTCAGAACGGGGGCCCCAAACTTTCTAAGTTATTGTCTACTGAAGCAGAAACTTTTGTCACAAGTTTCCATCTGTGCTGTTGTGTTCAGTTATGATGAAATTTATACGAAGACTGGTATTCCAGTGGTTCAGTCATAAATGCTTAATTTTATTTATTTTCCCTTTGGGTTTCTAATGGAATATAAGACTTCAGTAGCACGTCGCCATTTCATTCTGTTCTCTACAGTCTTTTGAAGCTGACTTCACGACTGCTCATAATTTTTCACTTCTTCCTCACACGATCCTCTCCATGTCACCCTCAGCTGGGACACCCAACTCGTCGTTCCTCCTATGGGTCCCACTCGACGTCCTGGTCTAGCGCCTGATTTCTCCGAATGGTCTTCTCAGTGTATGCCAAATCCATCTCCACTTTCTTCTGCATATTTACTGGACGATGTGTTCTTGCTTGGTTCATTGCCAGGTCAAAGTTCCTTGTTGCATATTCTCTCTGGCCATCTGATCTTCACTATCGAGTGATCGTAGGCGGGATCTGTTGATGTATGTCTGTAGTTTGTTCGAAATACTTTTCGTAACGCATGAAGTCTCTCAATCATCACATAGAAGCACTGACTTGACATTATTGTTGAAAATACGGATATTATTGTTTATGCTGAGTTTAGTGTAGTGTAGTGGAGTGCAGTGGAGTGTAATAGATCTTCACACTGATTTGAGATTAATGAAGGCCTATATTGCTGTCTTCCCTTCCAATGCTGGCTTTGATATGGTCATGTGTGCCTGCCTGTGTTGCGTGTAGTTGAAACGATGCTGCGTATGTGGATAGATAGGTGGGTAGATAGGTAGGCAGGTGAAATAGACAACATCCATTAGATTTCTCCCGTTGATGATAATTCGTGCTTGTTGTTGTTGTTGTTTGTTGGGTGGTATGTTCTTCACTTATGTCTTCTCTATGTTCACCTGAAGGAGGTCCCGTCTTTGCTGCTTCATCTCTCCTTCTCTACCAACATGTTATTTTTCGCGTGTAGATCTTCGAGTTTGTGTGACATTAGACATAAATGATGATTGTCTAAATGGAAATCTTCTGGGGTCTTTTCGTTGGTCAAACAGCGTGTGCGAACCTTCTCACTGCTCACAGTTTCTTGCATGATCCAGTCCAGTCCAGTCCAGTCCAGTCGACCACACTCAGGAAGATTATCGATGTTGGTAGGCGGCAATTTTATCTTACCTGTCAACCTGTCTTCACTTGAAAGGCATCACTGAGGTTTCCATTGTAAATCACTCGGTGTATAGGATGATGATCATATGTAGCTGTTGAATGAGTTTGATAAGGGTTTGTGGCAGTAAAAGCGTAGTGTTTAAGCAGGTGAGAAATAACTTCTGGTGTGAGTTGTTTGTCGAAGGGCTTGTGAAAGTGTAGTGTATGAAGTTGATGTGTAGAGTTGACTGTTATTCTGTGCTGTTTTCAATGATGATGCGTAGTGTAGTGTTGTAATTTGATGTGTAGATGATTTGTTTTTTCGTGAAGCGAGCCAGACTGTTGTGGTTGTATTTTAGAATGCGAAGCAATTTTTAGTCTGTGGGATATGATGCTGCCTAATATGATATGTTGCCTGGGTTTGACGTGGTTTGAACATGATTTCGCATCAGTTGTTATAAAGAATAGTGTTACCCTTATTTGTTAGTTTGACATGGTAGCCGTTCTTCTTTCAGTCAGGAGATATTTTTGTTTCGTTCCTTTGGAAGGTTGTTGAATATTGGTGTGAGTATGTGTGGTGTTGATACCTGTGCTTCTGCTGTCAGTGGTTCTGGATGACTTGCATGTTGTCGTTCTGCTTTTTCGGATGTCAGTGACTTTGTGGTGTTGAAGACTTCGGGTTTTGTCTGAGGGCTTATATTTACTGATAGTTCTGTTGTTGCTGGATACAGAAATGCTTAACTGTTCTTATTTTAAAGTATTTCTATTTGCACACATGTGGTATGTTTAGGATGCGATGTTTCTTGGTAGAAGTCTTCTTCACAATCGTTTACCGGTGTTCATCGTCGGGGCTTGCTGAAGCATAGAGTGCTGGAAGGAGTAGGGGGTCAGTTGGTTGTCTACAGCTCTGGTACACTTATCTAATCAATATCGTTACCTGTTTGTTGACGTCCACAATCCACTCGGCCACTTCCTAATGTATTGGAAAGGATTACTGTTATGAAATGATAAATTAATGAGTTATGCAATGGTACATAGAACAATAGCTATCAAAGTGGCAGTTAGTTAAAGCAGTGGTTCATATATGAGCCACAAAAATGATGAGGGTATTTTCTGGGACAAATTAGGTTGTAGTGTTAAGTGACTGATATGATTTATGTTCTTTTGTTGTTTTCCGGAGCTATGCGTACTCGTTGACTCACTGAACCATATTAAAGTCATGTAAACAAGGTTTAACAATGACCTCCATACTGGCTTTGAACATTTCTTCATTGAATATCCATTTTTGTCTTTCATTCGTTATCATACACTCTGTTTAGACACTTCATGTTTCATGGACTGAATCCTATTCCATCTTGTTTTGATTAAACTTATTGCATCAGTTTGAGTCTTGTAGTGAAGACATTAGTAGAAACTGCTTTGCAGCTGTTTAAAAAAAATAGAATATCTACTCAGCCAAATGCAAATCAGGTTAGTTCCCGTCAGTTGATAAGTCACAAGTAAAGAATGTTAAAAAAATTTGAATAAATCTGATGTTGCCCTGTTAAATAACAACGTTTTATTAACTTTTTTCTCGCCCCTCCCTTCAGCTGATGCCTTAACAACTCTCATAACTGCAGCAGGTGGTGCCAAGGATGGCTTGGCTGCACTATTACAGGAATCTGGTGGAGGTGCTAAAGGTTTGGAGAATCTTATTGAAGCTGTTGGTGGTGGAGGTGAAGGATTGAAACATTTATTGAAAGCAGCAGGTGACAATCCAGCCGAAGCTTTAGCTAACATTTTAGCTGCAGCTGGAGGTGGAGTAGAAGGCTTAAAAAATCTACTACAAGCTGTTGGTGGAGGTGCTGAAGGATTGAAAAATTTATTAAGTGCAATGGGTGATAATCCAAGTGAAGCGTTGGCTAACATTTTAAAAGCTGCAGGAGGTGGCGCTGAGGCATTGAAAAATTTACTTGAAACTATAGGTGGTGGCGCTGAAGGCCTGCAAACATTACTTCAAGGATTAGGTGGTGATCCTGCACAATCATTAGCTAATTTAATAGCTTCTGTAGGCGGTGGTGAAGAGGGTTTGAAGAATTTCATTGAAGCAGTTGGTGGAGGTGTGACTGGTCTAACTAACCTTCTCAAATCATTGGGTGGTTCAACTAAAGAGGCTTTAGAAGCTCTACTAACTGCTTCAGGTGGAGGAATAGAAGGATTGAAAAAATTAGTAGCAGCAGCTGGTGGGGGAGCAGAAGGGCTAAAAAATATCATCGAAGCTGCTGGAGGTGGCTTAGACGGACTTAAAAATTTATTATCTTCCCTTGGAGGCGAACCTATTGACGCATTGAGGTCACTGTTAGCAGATGTTGGTGGAGGTAGGTTTTCATTGTAATTAGGTTGAGTTTAAAACCCCCTTAAGGAATCATTATATTTGATTTTAGTTGGACTACACTTTTATCAACATCTACATCGTGGAGTAATAAGGCTCGAAAGATATTGTGATATTTGTATATTCAGCACGTCATATAGCATCAGTTGGATAGAGACTGTATATGTATAAATAGTAAAATGAAATAAATAGGAAATTACTTGAACAATAGATGAACACATTCGCTCTATCTACAACTTCCTTGGAAATGTACAGTCAACTTAGGTAGACAATCATACGAGTAATTAGATTCATAATATGTAAAAATAACACGCTCATCTTCACTTAGTTTACTTCAAAAAACAGAAGTTGATTAGTGTTAGTTCATTCCTAATACTTCCTTCATCGCACAGCAGACGAATTGAATACCTATGGTATTGTAGAGTTTTTATATTTTATAGTGGGTACATAGAGTTTTATGTACTTACTCATCGTTTTCCCAGATGACTGACACGTAGAGAGCTTTGAGTGAAGAGGATGCCGACCATCTGATAAAATAACTCCTGCCAGATGTGTGTGTAACCTATCTCAATATATAGAATATATTTCTCTGCCTACCAAATATGCTATTAGTTCTTGTAGACTTTTGCATTTACCTCATATTTTATCTGTGACATCACATGAATGTTATCCTCCATTCAAGCCTATAATTTTCTAATAGAATAATTCATGTATGCAAACATAATGAAAAAAAAGTAAATAATTTGGCATTAAAATTGTTTTAGGTTGTAAGCAGCTGATGAGAAAAATTGGAATGAAATACCTTCATCCTATATTGATTGGTCACGGGAATGAAACCAATCAATACATGTAAATCAGTCCTACAGGAGGTCAGTCGTGGCCCGAATAACTCAATGGGGTTCGAATCTCAGGCAGGATATCAGTTTCGTCGTGGTTACAGATATTCCTTGCTGACGAGTGTCAGAAAGCGCGAAACCTAGGTCTAGGGCTTCCTGCCGATTGCCTCCAACCAACTAACGCCTTCATTCTATTTTACTAAAAGTGTTGTTCTCACTCTTATTGATAATAAATTTCTTCCAATTCATCATTGAACATTATTTTTGAATATATTTCTTTGTTGTTTTTCATTTTTAAAGATGTAGCAAATCTAATCGCAGCTGCTGGAGGTGGTGTAGAAGGTTTAAAAAATCTTTTTAATGCAGTTGGTGGAGGTGTACAAGGACTGATGAATTTATTGAATGGAATGGGTGATGATATGAATGAAGCATTATTTAATTTATTAAATGTAACAGGGGATCAAAAAGAAGATTTACGGAATTTAATTGAAGCATTAGGCGGTGGTGTTGAAGGTTTTGAAAATTTTCTGAAGGTAGTTGGAGATAAAATTGGAATTGAAGGTTTGTTAAGTACACTGGGTGGTGGAGCTGAAGGACTTCGAAAACTATTGAATTCAGTTGATAAGGATAAAGATGAAGTTATACGAAAGCTGATAAATGCATCTGGTGGAGGTGTAAAAGGTTTAGCTGCTCTATTAAAAGCTACTGGAGGTGGAGTAGACGCTATTAAGGAGATCTTAGATGCTCTTGGTGGTGGACATGAAGCATTAGCAAAGTTATTGGCAACTTGTGGTGATGATCCCACTGAAGCATTAAAAGTTCTATTGGAAATGTTAGGTGGAGATGAAAACGCATTGAAAAACTTGTTAATCGCTAGTGGACTTGATCCAAATGATCCTAACGCCTTAAAACTATTGTTTCAAGCTTTAGGTGGCGCAGAAAATGGTTTAATCACTCTGGTAAATGCTTTAGGCGGAGGGGAAGAAGGTATGAAGAAACTTTTAAAGTCACTTGGAGATGATGGACTGGTCAAGCTTGTTGCAGCAGCTGGTGGAGGTGAGCATGGGACAGAAGCTTTGATTAAAGCTATGGGTGGAAAAGGTACTGAGGGTTTAACAGCTTTAATTAATTTGTTGGGTGGTGCAGAAAATGGTCTTGCTACTTTAATTGCAGCTGCTGGTGGCGGACAAGCTGGATTAGCTGCGCTACTTAAGGCTGCTGGCAAATTCACTGAAGATGGAGACGGTCTTTCAGCTCTTATTTCAGTAGCTGGCGGTGGTGTTGAAGGACTTGAAGCGTTAATCAATGCAGCTGGTGGAGAAGAAGAAGGACTGAATAACTTGTTATTGGCTGCAGGTGCCACAGACGCTAGTTCAAAATCTAGCCTCATAAAACGACTTATTGAAGCTGGAGGTGGAGGTCAAGAAGGTTTCAATAATCTGTTGAAAGTACTCACTCGGGGAAAACGTGACAGACCAATAGATGGCTTTGCCAGTCTACTGAAAGTACTTGGAAATAATCCAGAATCACTAGAAATACTTTTAGGCGCTGTTGGTGGTAATGCAGATGGATTGGCTGACCTATTAGCAGCTGCAGGTGGAGGAGCAGAAGCCTTACAACTCTTAATTAATGCAGCAGGCGGTGGAACTGAAGGATTAGTCAAATTATTGGCTGCAGCTAAACTCACTAGTCTTGAACAATTGGCTGATGCTTTAGCTGCAGCAGGACTTGGGGAAGAAGTTGTTTCAGCGGCTAGAGCTGGTGACTTGTCACTGCTTTCAGGTAAGTCATGAATCCCATGGTCTATGGCACTTAACAAATCTGCGTACCTACGTTGTACGTATGAATATGACGGTAAACCTATCAAGCAAAATATATGTATTTATTCTATCTGGAGGTTTGTGGAGGTTTATTAATTGATTTTAGGTTGAAATTCATCATGGACTGGTATCCGGCGGAGGAGCATTGGAAACCTGGAAGCATTAGACAGGTGTTTCGTCCAATTAGTATAGGACTATTCCTGGGCAGCGCTCACCCATTACCCCGCCCCACTAGGGATCGTACCTAGGACCGTCAGGTCCTGTGGCTTGCAACTTACCATTGAGTCACTGGGTCGGAATCCAACGGTCGATATTTCCAACTTTTTTCGCTTCACGACAGCGCGAGTAACTGTCCTCATTTTCGAGTTGGCGCACTCCACTGGTCACGATTCAACGACGACATTGGATGTAGGTCACGCCATATCATGAACTGACAGAAGTAGGAATTGTGGACCATTAGATTCCGACCTAGTGGCTCAATAGTAAGTTGCTTGCCACATGACCTAAAGGTCCTGGGTTCGATCACTGGCGGGACAGGGCCTTGGGTGCTCACTTCTGAGTAGTCCCATACTAGATGGACGAAACAGCTGTCCAGTGGTTGCAGGTTTCCAATTTTCCTCCACCGGACATCAGTCCATGATGAATTCCAACCTGTATGTATTTACGATACAAACTTAGATTGAATTTGATAGATAACTTAAGTGCAACATTTCTGAAATTATTCGTTCCTAGGAGGGTTATGTTGATTTCAAGACTATGATATATTTCTTCTTAGTGCACTGTCTAGATAATTAACTGTACTCGTTCCATGAACACACGCAGATACACATATGAATCTATCGGACTAGTTATCCATATCATATAGATGAGTGTATAGGGGATAAAAGTGAGACGTTATTGATATATCAAATAAAAAAGTGAATGCATATATAAATTCTTGTTAAAAAGTTTGATGGACCAGTTATAGCAGGAAAAAGTATCAGAATTACAGGCATCTTACTGTTTAGGGTATAATGCTGCTCTATTCATGGGAGTGAATTGATCATTCAATCTCTGTTATCATTTGAACTGCTTTATAAGACGTCTTTGATCAGGATAATTGAAACTTATTTTGTTTGTTTCACTTACAGTTTCAGTTTTCAGGAAGAGAGGGATATTTAATCCTTTTTGATGGTAGCATTCTGTAGATCTAATGTCGCTTTGAAAGTATCAACAGACGGTGAAGAAATTATATCCTGTGTTAGAGAGTGTCAGTGGTTCACAAATCTGTAAGAGTAACATATTTCCAAATGTACACAATTGGATGGTAGCATATGAATTCTTAGGTGATGTCTCTGAGTTGAAGAGTTCTAAAGGAGGGGAATAAATGCGATAAAATAGGACGTCAGTCATCACTGAATGTACGAAACATTAAAATCAAATCCCTCCTCAACCTAGTTTTTCTTCGTAGGAGAGGTTCAAGAGTCTTTGATCATTTTAGTTTCTACCCTCTTCATACGCTGTAATATGTCAGCTTTATATTTGAAAGATTGTCTCTCTGCTTGAATCCCAAACTCGAAATGCGGTGTTATGTATATGGGATTTCGCCGATGACTTTTGTCTAATGTCACACAAACTTGAAGATATACAGGCGAACACTAACAAGTTCACAGAAGAGGCATGACAGCGAAGATGAGACGTCAAGTGAACGTATAGAAGACAGAGGTGATGAAGATACCAAACCAACACCACCAACAACAACAAGCTCCAATCACCATCAATGGGAGAAACTTAAAGGAAGTAGCCTCATTCATCTATCTAGGCAGCATCGTTTCAACTACAGGTGGTGGCACAGACGAAGACGTCAAAGCCACGATCAGAAATACAGCAAGACAGGCGTTCATTAACCTGAAACCAATGTGGAGATCTTCTGCACTGCACTCAACATAAAAGCCTGAACAACATCCGGATTTTCAACACCAATATCAGTCAAGTCAGTGCTTCTATGTGATGGTTGAGAGACTTGGCGAGTTACGAAAGGTATTTCCAACAAAGTACAGACATTCATTAACAACTGCCTACGCTGGCTCGATACTGAAGATCAGATGAGAAGGCGAGAAAGAATAAGCAACAAGGAACTCTGGCCTGACAATGAACGAACCAACGAAGCAAGAACCTGTCACTCAACAAATATGCATTGGAAGGAAATCGAGATGGATTGTAATGGGCATGCACTGAGAAGACTACTCGGGGACATCACGTGTCAGGCCAGTTGCTGGAATGGAACGCAGATGGGAAATGACGAGTTTGGCGTGCCAGCTGAGGGTGACATGGAGGAGAGCGTGTGAGGAAGAAATGAGAGCTTGTGGACAGTTGTGGAGCCAGGTTGAAAAGATTGCAGAGGACAGAGTACACTGGAGACGTGCTACTGAAGTTATATGTTCCATTAGGAATCCAAGGGACAAATAATAATAATAATATTAATACGTATATAGGGTATAAAGTTCAAAACGTGTTCCCATCAAGGCCCTGAAAGGCTATTTGTGAGGACCTTAAGATTCGAAAGCCTTTGTTTATTATTACTTTACAGTTAGCCGATGTTTTAAGATCACGACTATGATACCGAAGTCAGCTACTTTGGTTAATAGAATGTCATCATTCAAGTAACCATGTAGATATCACTGATCTTTTCTCATGACCACACTTTTTATGTTAATTTCTGGACTTAGTATTGTGGACCAACCAACTAGAGCATTTAGGTTATCTTATAGGGGCGGCTTGACCTTATTACTGTTAATAGGTCTCTGTAAACAAAAGGATGGAAGACCTAGTTGTCCTAAGCAACCAGTTTTGGTAGAGTAGGGAGAAAAGTTCACTGAAGATATTATCTTAAGGTACTTCACACTACTTGTTTCAATAAAAACGAAACCGTATTTGCCCTTACTTACTATCTTCTATCTCAAAGAAAATCTTTGATACAGTTCTCAACTTCATAGTCAATCCCAATGATTTTCAGCTTCTTGTTCAAGTCTGAGTTAGAGACTTTATTGAAAGCTTTGCTGAACTTGATGAACATTACATCTGTTGAAATATTTATATCACTGGCAATAGCCTAATTCTTTCAAGCATTACTGACTGACCCAGAAAATTATTCTGTTCCATGGCTAAAAATGTATTTCCCTCGACATGTATTATGATGGCATTATGAGTAATCTTCCCCAAAAGCTGAACTTGTACGCCAATCAGGTTAACCAGATGACACTAAGTCATAAGATATCTATGTCAAGTTTTATAGACAACTGATGATGGAAACTATTCAATCTCTGGATGATTTCGATTAATTCAATGGCATTCAAAAGGCAAACTTACTGTTGACTGAAGATATTTGTTAGTGCCGATAATATACTAGAATGTAGCTCATCTGAATCACAAGACTTACTAATGTTGAGGTTCTGAAGTGATTCAACACTCTTATATTTAGGCACTAGTGTGATGATTGTTTTCAACTTATACCCAGTATCTTTTTTTTCCTCTCTTCGTAAAATCTTTGACGAAAGGTGTCGTGATTCACCTAAAGCTTTCTTTGAAAACTTGCAATACTCTTATTTTTAGATATTAGTTTTCAATTAGTTGGAAGCTTTTTTTCATCCAAATTTCTCACTTCTTGTCTTTTTCCCACAAACTTTACCTGGGAGCACAAAAGAATTGGTTTTCTTTTGGTGACCTGTGCCACTCAGGGCTGATGTCAAAGTCTTTACCGTTGATTCGTGTAAAACCCTTCTTAATTATATTACTCAAAAAAAAACACGCTATTATCATAATTGAGCTATTCAGGTAGTCAGTTGCCTTGTTATGGACTGCATCATTTATAAGAATAAAGAATAGAATAGGACGTGGTTGTATTGTGTTCTCTAAGCTGAGTTGTTTAATCGTGAAGCTTTCATCGCACTGAAGACACTAACCTTTCAACCTTTGCCTGACAATATACTTCCAATTCAGTGGCAAGATATACAAACAGATGAAAGGAACTCCAATGGGGTCACCGATATCCAGATTAATTGCAGAAGCAGTGATGCAGAGACTGGAAGTCATCATTCTACCTGTAATCAAGCCAAAAATTTGGATTCGCTATGTGGATGACACTTTTGTCATCATTAAAGAAGATGATATAGAAAACACCCACAGTTTGATCAAAAACGTTTCAATGACATCAAATTCACAATGGAGAAAGAGTCAAACAACCAAATACCATTCCTGTATATTTTAGTCAGTAGGAAAAATGCCGGAAAGCTGGAAACCCAAGTGTAGAGGAAGCCAACACACGGTGACTGATCAAATCTTCGACTACAATAGCAACAACCCAATGGCACACAAAATCAGTTGCGTGCAGACTGTATCCAAAAGAGCGAGAACACACTGCAGCATAACAACTTCACAGAGAAACGAAGAAAATTACTTGATGTTCACCCTAAAGAAGAACGGCTACCCACGAAACTTTATCACAAGATGCCTATCCTGTGCATCATCAACTACAAAGACATCGACAGAAATCAACAAACACATCATCCTACCATACATAAAGAAGATGTATCAGAAATCATAACAAGATTACTGAGACCACTCTGAATTGGTGTGGCAACTCATCAACCAGCAAATTCCCTACAAACACTTATGCAGACCACAGGATGTAACAACCAAGGAAGACAAACCGAAAATCATTTACAAAATCAACTGCAATAACTAACTGTAGTCAACACTACATTGAACAAAGTGGTCTCTCACCTTCGCCTTCGTCTACATGAACACCAGTTGGCTATTAAACATCACACACAGCATCTCATCACTCATTTCAATGCACGTGGATAACAACAATGAACATAAATTCAATTTTGACAATGTTGAGATGTTGGACGGAGAGAGGAGACACAAAGAATGTCATCAGAGAATTCCTAGAAGCTTGGCATTTATGTCAGTCAGTGAGTCATTCAGCAATCAATAGATGGATGTATAGATATAGACCCAATCTACCAACCAATGAAAAAATCATAAACGCCATGAAGGTGAGAGGTGAAGCGGAGGAACAGTCAACAGTTATTGAATGACAAAACAATCAAAGGAAGCAACCAGTGACAAACCAGTTGGTCAGGGTAAACTATTGAATTACTGACAGAGAGATATTGACAGCTCAGTTCATAATGAAGTTAATGCTGAGGATGTCGTCTAGCAAGACGGTGAAAGCTTCACGTTAAACAACCCAGCTCAGAGAACACAATATAACCAAGACCATCCACCTGAGCTACAAATATTCTCCATTATTTCAATAGAATCGGGAAAAAGTTACCACGCAGCTTGTATTAAAAGACCTACTAGGGTAATTATAGACCAGAGATGATCAATTCTAAAATGATGGAGAATATTTGTATTTCGGGAGGATGATTTGATGATGATGATGTTTTCTCTAAGTTGAATGGTTTAATTGTGGAGCTATCACTGTCATTCTAAGCATCATCAACACAAACTTCAGAGAGAGTTGAGCTATGGAGTTTATGTCACAGGTGGTTTATTAGCTTGTGGTGATGACCTTGTTTGTGATTGGTGGTTTCTGATAAGATCTTGCTATCGTCTCCATATTCATTTCGATTACAAAGAATGCCAGAGAATTTTTAGAAGCTTGATATTCTGATCAGTCAGCGGTCAATAAACATATTGACATCAGTCAATGATGAATACCAACTTGAAGAAAAAAAATTTCTAAATCCCCACAAACTTCCAAATTCAATTGAACTAGTGCTCATTGGTGACTAGCTTCGAATGGTGATTCCCGAAGTTCCAGTGAGAAGTTATGCCCAGTGGGGCGAACCTGGTAGCCGTGAGGACAATTACTCAACGATGATATTGGGTGACTATCGCGCTATATCGTGAACTGACAGGAGTTGGAAATATGGACCATTAGATTCTGACGTAGCGCCTAGCTCAATGGTAAGTTGCTGTTCACAGAACCTGAAAGTTACGGGTTCAATCCCTGATGGTGTGGGGTTCTTGGTGTGCACTGCTGAGTAGTCCCATACTAGTTGGATGACACAGCTGTCCAGTCCTTTTAGGTTTCCAATGTTCCTTCAATTGACATTAGTCCATGTTGAATACCAACTTGAAGAAGAAATCTCTGGATCCTTATAAACTCTGAAAATGAATACTGATAATGGCCCAATCTATCGACTAATAAGAAATAAAGAGGTCAAATTTCACATCAACAGAAAAATCAGTAGAAGCGAATATGAAGACAGCGAAAAGACGTTAGGAGAAACCACCAATCACAAACAAGGTCATCTGGACAAGCTATTAACCCACTTATGGGGAAAACCCCATAGCTAAATTCTTTCAAGGTTGAAAGGAGATCAAACCAATCGTACATACTTGAGATATAAAGAGAAATTCGCCGGAAAGCTCTGTCTAGTCTACATTTCGTGCTTGTTGACTGTCATCAGCAAAATGTATCTGCAGCCATATGGAAACTGGTGTTCCATTGATGATTCGAACTCAAGTTAATGCTGAAGTCACTGCTTGTATTGGGGTGGTTGAATTGCAGACTTGGTCAACAGACTGCGCTCACAGGTTGGTACTAAGAATTAGGCATATAAGTCGTAAACAAGAATGAACTTTTATGATTATTATTATTATACGTTCACGGTACAATTCACGGGTACGCTGCTCTTGGGTATATATCTCATACCATTTTTAATTCCTCTTCAAAAACGAGCGCTTACAACCAGTTGGTTGTAGGTGCTGTTTTGCATACAGTGTAACTCAATATACGAAACACCCAAACAAAAGATATTAGCTAGTTTTTAAGCTTCATTCATATTATTACCACCAAATAGCACTAACTGAAGTTAAATGATTCATAGGATTCCAACTAAGTGGTTGAATGATATATAACTCACTCGTCGTAGAACGTAACTATTTTGGGTTTAATCGCTCATGAATTCTTAGATACTCTCCCCAGATACCTTTCGAAGTAAGGTAGGAAAGCTGATCATTTCTGTGCAGGCTTGCAATGGTTCCCATGATGAAAGCTACCTTGAAGTTAGTAAATCTTCACGACCCTTCCTCTACCGATACCTAAACTACAGAAATAACAAGTGGTTTTAAAATATATTTAACTTGTCTAATTCTCTTCCATTCATAAGTGAATAATTGTTTAATTATCCAATTTATACATGTAGAACATCGTACACCTTTAATAAATATTACTGAGTGGAAAAAGTAGAAAAGTAAGTCATTTGATGATTCCTGAAACATTTCAAGTTGTTATTCATCGTAGACTGACATCAGCTGGAGGCACAGTGGAAACTTGGGAGCACTGGACAACTGTTTCGTCGTAGTACGGGACTTCTCAGCAGTGCGCACCCACGACCCCGCCAGGTGTCAAACCCGAGACCTTCAGGTAACGTGCTGGCCATGGAACCTGAAGGTCTCGGGTTCAGTCCCTGGTGGGGTCGTGGGTGCGCGCTGCTGAGAAGTCCCATACTAGGACGGAACAGTTGTTTCCATTGTTCCTCCAAGTGATGTCAGTCTACGATGAATACCAACTTGAAATATTACTAAATCTCTGCAACCTCCTCGAGATTCATGAAGCAATAGCTGTAGCTGGAATAGTACTGAACTTGACTATGTGTTAACTATCTTTACAAGTTAAGCTGACGAGATGACGCATCAACTAACGGTTATCATAAAAGGCAGCAAACTAAACCATAATAACACGAATAATGACAGTAATCAACAATTGATTTGAAGTTAATCGTAGTGCAAGGTGATCACTTCAATGTTGAAATAAAGATGTTTGTTATAGTAGGCTTAATTCATAGGACTTGGCTACTTGAAGTGATGAATTATCGATGTCTCTGATGGTAGAAATTATCATCCATATCACTTTCATGATTGTTCCGCATAATTTCAAGATTTATTTTGAACAAATATTGAAGTGAAATTTCATCAGTAATAATTTGCCTATTATTGGAGAATCTATTTCTTAGTTGGTATAACTGTTTTTTTTTTATATGAAAAAGAGACAAGATTAATTATACTAAAAACTATACCCGTCACACAAGAAGTGGCTATCGTGGCTCAGTGGTGTAGTGGATAACGCCATGGCGTTTGAAGCGATCGCTCCGAGGTCCGGATTCCGGTGGGAACAACATCACTTACCAGGAAGCAGCTACTTCCAGCTGACTGGTGAGTCTCAAATAGGTTGAAGTGCGCATCCTGGATTCCACCGCTAGCCACGACCCATCATTAGCATATTTCTTAGTTGGTTTAAAGTCTCTTGTCAGAAACTACATATCTAAAATGTTATTTTCTGAAACTGAAAGACATTTTTAACCCATATAATGAACATTGTAAAGAAAATTATTCTTTAAACTGTAAAAATAGTTATTCTTCTGTCAAGATAATCACCTTTTCGTTGCATTTACGAATACTGATGGAATCCCTTTTCTTAGGTAAAACCGATTTCTCATAAACCTAACTAATAATACTGTTATCAGAGTTAGGAACAATTAAAAGTAACCTTAAATAAAGAAAGGATAAAAGTGACTTTATGCGACACCTTTAGAACTACTGAAACAACCAATTGGGTATCTTTATAGTGATCAAAAAAACTAGTTTTCCTATAAATCAACAAGCCTGATCGATCATTTCATTCGATGACAAGATAATGTTCAAAGTCACTTCCAATGGATTATACCTTCACAATAAAATGTTATTTTGTTCACTTTGTTTTTTTTCGTTTTTCACATACACTACTGAAACAGTAAAATTGATGAATTATCCATTCATCTGTTTATATTGTTACTGTTCTCTATATTCATGAATAGCCTAACAGGATTAGTAGTCAAAGCAGCTAACGAAACTAGTACTCAGTATTCGCGATATTCAATGCTCTAAATGTGTATATCAATAATACACGGAAATGCATAGTTGGTAGATCAAACTGATTTGATTGATTGTTGACTTCACTATTTGCCTATCAATCACAATTTCTTAATTTGCTGTTAATGTTCAGTTGAATATGTATTTAACAGGATGTAATAGGTACTAATTTCATAGTTAGCCTTACGTCCATTTCAAATATAATTATATGAATTTCATTTATAATTTCTTTTCAGAGATAGTAGCTCGTTGCGCAGCAAAAGAATATGATCAGAGGATAAGCAGTGGTAAACGTGAGTTATCTTCTCATAGTATATGTCCGCGTAAAGTAAGATATGCTTCTTTCCCATCTCATTCAAAAATTGATTGACAAAACTTATAATTATCTGTAAATGAGAAATAGGTCTAATCTATTTTCTTGTAGTAATATGTGAGAATAGATGTTATATGATTCTTTTGCCAGAAAAAAAACGGTGAATAGATTGATATTTAGGTTATTTTCAACCCCATAAATATCCTGTAAAGCATAGAGTGTCTATTATAGAGGGTTCATCCCAGAGGTGAATTTCTAAATGAAGATTTTATGCTTAAACTTTCAACAAAATAAGTAACCATAGGATTCTCTAATCTACAATCCTTTAGACTTGAGGTCCCTATTTATTCAGGTAGATTATGTTGTGCAGTATTAGAATGTAGATCCTTCAAAGATGCCAAGAACTCTCTAAAGACATTCATAACTAAAAGCCACGTGATCATATATGTTAGTACCAGACTGGTTTATAAGACTAAATCGATAAGAAACTTGATAGAAAACCGTTCACCGTTTACTGTTATGATTATTATTTATCCCTAGTGGAACATATAACTTCAGTAGCACGTCTCCAGTGTACTCTGTCCTCTGCAATCTTTTCAACCTGGCTCCACAACTGTCCACAAGCTCTCATTTCTTCCTCACACGCTCTCCTCCATGTCACCCTCAGCTGGCACGCCAAACTCGTCATTTCCCATCTGCGTTCCATTCCAGCAACTGGCCTGACACGTGATGTCCCCGAGTAGTCTTCTCAGTGCATGCCCATTACAATCCATCTCGATTTCCTTCCAGTGCATATTTGTTGAGTGACAGGTTCTTGCTTCGTTGGTTCGTTCATTGTCAGGCCAGAGTTCCTTGTTGCTTATTCTTTCTCGCCTTCTCATCTGATCTTCAGTATCGAGCCAGCGTAGGCAGTTGTTAATGAATGTCTGTACTTTGTTGGAAATACCTTTCGTAACTCGCCAAGTCTCTCAACCATCACATAGAAGCACTGACTTGACTGATATTGGTGTTGAAAATCCGGATGTTGTTCAGGCTTTTATGTTGAGTGCAGTGCAGAAGATCTCCACATTGGTTTCAGGTTAATGAACGCCTGTCTTGCTGTATTTCTGATCGTGGCTTTGACGTCTTCGTCTGTGCCACCACCTGTAGTTGAAACGATGCTAACTAAAAGACTTAAAAGTAGTCAAGACCATTTTGTCAATATGTATAAACCATTGTATTTTACATTTATTTTAAAGTTACAATGCACCTCCTGCTATCATACCACCTTGATCGACCATCATGGGTAGAATGTGAAGGTTGCTATCCAAGTATATATATATATATATATATATATATATATATATATATATATATATATAAAACCCCAGGATATATCAGAAATATAGAATTCCAGTAACATTGGATTGAGGGGTTAACTTGAGATTAAATGGTGATAGTACTCTCACAAGCTACAAAAGAACATGAAACAATATTTCTAACCTTTACTTGACTAGTGTTCAATTTTGTTGCTAAAAAGTGTTACCAAGGGAATTATATTTCCAAAAAAAATTTAATTCCAGTTGAAATGATTGCTGTAAATTAGTGTTATTGCTTGTATTACACCGTCGTTGATTGGACCGAATTGATCGCTGTCTATTGGCATATTGGATTCTGTGCGGATGCCTCGATATTACTTATGCTCTTATGATAGTAATGATGGATGGTGACTAGAAGTGGAATCCAGGATGCACATTTCGTCCTATTTGGGACTCACCTGTCAGCTGGAAGTACTTACTTCCTGGTGAGTGATGTTGTTCCCACCGGGATTCGGACTCGGGAGTGACCGCTCCAAACGCCAGAGCGTCATCCAGCTGACAAGCCCCAAATAGGACGAAACACGCATCATGAGTTCCACTGCTAGCCACTATCCATCATCACTATCATAAGAGCACAGGTAATATCGAGGCATTCGCACAGGATCCCATATGCCAATAGAGATCGATCAATTCGGTCCAATCAACGACGGTATGATATAAAAGCAATTATATATACTAAAAACTATACCTGTCGCACAAGAAGTGGCTATCGTGGCTCGGTGGTGTAGTGGATAACCCTCTGGCTTTTGAAGCGATCGCTCCTTGGCCCGAATCCCATGTGAAGCAACGTCACTTACCAGGAAGCAGGTACTTCCAGCTGACTGGTGAGTCCCAAATAGGACGAAATGTGCATCCTGGATTCCACTGCTAGCCACTATTCATCATTGCTACTCAATAGTAGACGTGTAAGAAAGTTTGTGTATACTTTTGGTTTTGCATTAAAACTTTTAAGAATGAATTGACAGAAAGAAATCTAATTGGATTGGTTGGTTTCGATAACATTATCGTAGAACTAGATCCTGAATACTTTCAAAGTGAAGTTAGCTTCTCACTATCTGTTTAAACGTAATTAAAACTAATGTTTTTTCGAATTCATTTAAAAGGTGAATATTAATACTGGGTGATGAATGAAGATGAGCTAAGGAGTTGGGTTAAGATGAGAATACCTAGTTGACCATCCAGTCGAATTACAATAAAATGGGCGGCTAAGTATAACGGTTTCACATGATAATTGCGTAATACCATGGGTGATTGAAGAACATTTAAGATCTGGGTCTCTTAGCTTAGTCAGTCAGGCGCCGAGCAAGTAAACCAGAGGCTACTAGTTTGATTCTAGATGTGACTCAGGTTTCAAAAACAAGATATTCAGCGAAGAACACTCTTTTGAATGAATATATTCTTAAGGTGTACATTCGTATACGTATGTAATATTTCAAGACTATAATCCATGAGGAAGATTTAACTTAAATAACGCGGGGTTGAAATACTAATAATGGTGTTCATCTTGAACTGACATTAGTTGGAGGAACATTGGAAACCTAAGAGGACTGAACAGCTGTTCCGACCTAGTATGGAACTACTCAGCAGTGCACACCAAGAACCCCACACCATCAGGGATTGAACCCGTAACTTTCAGGTTCTGTGAACAGCAACTTACCATTGAGCTAGGCGCTACGTCAGAATCTAATGGTCCATATTTCCAACTCCTGTCAGTTCACGATATAGCACGACCTCCACCCAATGTCATCGTTGAGTATTTATCCTCACGGCCACCAGGTTCGCCCCACTGGGCATAACTTCTCACTGGAACTTCGGGAATCACCACTGGAAGCTAGTCACCAATGAGCACTAGTTCAACTGAATTTGGAAGTTTGTGGAGATTTAGAGATTTTTCAAGCTGGTACAAATTGGTAGCTTTGATAGGTGGTTCCTGAAGTTCCACTGAGAAGTTATGCCCAGTGGGGCGAACCTGGTGGCCGTGAGGATAAATACTCAACGATGATATTGGGTGGAGGTCGTGCTATATCGTGAACTGACAGGAGTTGGAAATATGGACCATTAGATTCTGACGTAGCGCCTAGCTCAATGGTAAGTTGCTGTTCACAGAACCTGAAGGTCACGGGTTCGATTACTAGTGGTGTTGGGTCATGGATGTGCACTGCTGAGGAGCTTCATACAAGTGGGACGAAACAGCTGTCCATTGCTTCCAGGTTTCTATTGTTCCTCCAATTGACATCAGTCTATGATGAATACCAACCTAAAAAATCCCTAACAAACCCCCTAAATTCAATATTAATAGTAGTTATAATAATAGTGTTGTTAATTGATGACGTAAAGGTCGGATGATAACAAAAAGGGGTTACGTAAGATTTTTAAATTGTTTATAAAGTGCATATAGATTGCAAAGGGGTGAGAACGTGATAGAGTTAATAAACAATCAACTTATTAGATAATATGAATGACCTCGTAGCTCAGTTGATAGAATAACAGACCAAAAACATGATAGTCGCTTGTTCGAATCCGATGGCGGTCCAAGTTTTCATCTAATCTTTAATCATCACTCAGTATAAATACTAGTCTTCCAAATTATGGCTATCTCAGATAGTCAAATGACAATCAATATGAATAAGTTAATGGAAATTAATTGAAAATGTTTTATATTTTTTTGAGATGAATAGGGATTTTTAATTTAAAGGTAGTATTCATCATGAATTGATATCAGTTGGAGAACCATTTAAAATCTGGTAGCACTGGACAGCTGTTTCATCCTAGTGTGAACTCCTCAGGCAGTACGCACCCATGACCCGCGATTATTAGGAAGATGAAATGAAATAATACTGGGAACAATTAAATATCAAAATAAAGTGATAATGACGATATAAGAGTAGAAAAATTATTCTGTTAAAAAGGGAGAGGAGTGGGGTTGAAAAACGTAAAAGGAAGGAGGCATACCAGGACTAAAATAAGTTATGTCAAAGTAGAGAAAAAACTGTACACATACTTGTTTTTGCACACAAAGATCAGGCTTCAGTTCATCAACTAGCAACATTATTACTTATAGCCGCCATTATTATTATTATTATTTCAATCCTTCTTTCAACCTTCTTACAGATTACACTCTTGAAATATCACCAATGTTTACTAATGTACAGCTTGAGAATATATTTGTTAAAAAGAGTCCTCCTCTTCACTGAATATCTCGTTTTTGATGTCATATTGGGAGCTATGAACGTATTTTTAAAGAATGCAAGGATACGATCATGATTAAGGAACTCAATAGGTTTCTATGTTACTCTATCAAAATTACTTTGATGAAATATGAGGTTAACTCAAGTTTCAGTTTTACCTTCAGACATCACTTGGAATAAGGAAAACTAGCCCACCTAACTGCGGCTATCTTCGATATATATATATATATATATATATATATATATATATATATATATATATATACTCTCGACCAACAACAATATATTGTTTGTTCTTTCCTCCTTCATTTTCAACACAGCAAAAGAACTTTGCAGAGAGAGAAAGAATGGCTTCGCACACGTCCTACTGGTCCTACTCGTAAGTGATTGGATTAAAGACGTCATGTACTTAATGGAGTATGAATTGTTTATTTTAAGTAGAAGAATAGAGATTTACATACACAGGCTGTCTTAATTGTGCAGTTTATTAAATCAGAAATATTCTACTAACAAAGTGATAGTTATATATTTTTGAGATGAATGGGGATTTTTTTTAATTTAGAAGCAGTATTCATCATGGACTGACATCAGTTGGGGGAACCATTGAAGATCTAGGAGCACTGGACACCTTCTTCGTCCAACTAGTATGGGACTCCTCAGCAGTACGCACCCATGACCCAGTTAGGGAACGAACTCAGGACCTTCAGGTCTTCACGGCGAATGCGTTAACCATTCAGCCAGTGGGCTGGTTTCCAGTGGTTCACAATTTCCAACTTCTGTCAATTCACGACATAGCGTGACTATCATCTCAAAAATACAATAATGTCTAGTGCTCATTAGTGACAAGTTTCCAGATGGTTATCACGAAGCCCTAATGAGAAGTCGTGACCTGTGGGGTCAACCAGTCAAAAGTGAAACGGATGCCAACTGAAGACCTTGGGTGATAGTCGCCCTATATCATGAATTGACAAAAATTGGTAGGTAGGTGAAAGAAACAACTTCCTTTAAGTTCCTCCTGTTAATGGTGATTGGTGCTTGTTGCTGTTGGTTGGGTATCTTCATCACCTTGTTCTAATTTACATGATGGAAATTTTTAAACGTTTTGTAATAATTAAGACAATATAAGCAATTATATTTATTGTGCTATATTCTTTTCTTTTGTCAATTTGTGGTGGTGTTTGAACCAATCAATTATGACCAGTTTTACCTGTTTGCATGAACTATGATTTATTTTATCAGTTATATCAGTGTTAGATGAGATGTTAGAACTGATAACGTTATGATGTTATTTCCAGGTTTGTTCGACATTTTCCCGATATCTTTTCTCATTCTTTCTGCATGACCTACCATCATCAGCTGGTATCAATTCGATTAAATATGCTGTTGACATAACAGTTTCCATACTTATCTCCTCTTCATCAGATTATCTCCAACTGAATGATTTCTTATTTACTGTTAGACGATGGTCCTCCTTGAATGATCTTTTGCTTAATTCCTCAAAATGTCGGACCATACACTTTAGTTATGTAGGTGAACATAAACTGGTTAGTTATCATGATTCCTGTTCTTTTGATAGTTGTGCAATAGAGAATGTTACAAGTATGATTTATGTCGGTGCATTTTTCTTCGAACCTTTCTGGTCTTCTCATTTCTTACTAACTTCTAAAAGAATCTTCCGCCTGACTTTCTATATTAGGAAGCTGAGAGTATCTTGTACTAATCAGCCTCTGTTCTTGGGTTTTATAAACTCTTACAATCTTTCCTGATTTCCTCTCTTGTTCTCCATTATCCTTTTCCGGGTTGCTGAAAAAAGACCATGGTATACTGCGTAGAACTTTGAAGATTGTCAGCAGGACTAGTAGTGTCCCCCTAAACCATCTGGTTAAAACAGTTGTGGAGAAACATATTAACTCATATAAACATCTAGTAGGAGTTATTTTATCAGATGGTCGGCATCCTCTTCATTCAAAGCTCTCTATGTGTCGGTCATCTGGGAAAACGATGAGTAAGTACATAAAACTCTATGTACCCACTACAAAATATAAAAACTCTACAATACCATAGGTATTCAATTCGTCTGCTGTGCGATGAAGGAAGTATTAGGAATGAACTAACACTAATCAACTTCTGTTTTTTGAAGTAAACTAAGTGAAGATGAGCGTGTTATTTTTTACATATTATGAATCTAATTACTCATATGATTGTCTACCTAAGTTGACTGTACATTTCCAAGGAAGTTGTAGATAGAGCAAATGTGTTTATCTATTGTTCATGTAATTTCCTATTTATTTCATTTTACTATTTATACATATACAGTCTCTATCCAACTGATGCTATATGACATGCTGAAAATTCTGTAGAATATTCCCGAAATAACTATCAGAATAGAGCCATTATTATTATTATTATTATTGCTTATATTACACCGTTGTTGATTGGACCGAATTGATCAGTCTCTGTTGGTATATGGGCTCCTGTGCGGATACCTCAATATTGCCTGTGTTTCAATTATGTATAGTAATGATGGTTAGTGACTAGCAGTAGAATCCAGGATGCACATTTCGTCCTATTTAGGACTCAATAGTCAGCTGAATGTACCTGCCCCTAGTGAGTGATGTTTTTCCCACCGGAATACGGACTCGAGAGATGAAATGTGCATCCTGGATTCTACTGTTAGCCACTGCCCATTATTACTATATTATTACTATTAAGTAAGTAAAATTTCATTAAAATATATAGAAATAAAACGTGTGGATAATTTTTATATTGTGAAGTGAATTTAAATCTAATAACTCCCTGTTATTGTTTTTTTCGATCAATAGGGTTTGTTAGAAAACTTTCAGCTGCGAAAAGAAGTTATAAAAAGTGGAAAAAAGTTAGTATTTTCATGAATCATAATAATACTAATCGATAAACTTTAATTTCGGTAAACATTAGTTCCCCATTCATTTATCATGTACACTAACTTTTACGCTAAATGTAAGTAAATATTTACTTACACTAACTGGTTAATAGTGATTAACCGAATTAGTTTTCTATGCCTATGGGTTCATCAATAAGCTAAGTCTATGAATCAAGTTTACGGATATGGCCACTAAGTGAAATGATGCAAAACTTCAGTTATACTTAGGATCACTTGTGGCTTCAATATCTTTGGTGTAAAGTTCATAACTTTAGAGTTATATGGGCTCAAATCTCTGAGGTCAGTCAGCTGTATCACAGCTGCATGTATGTCTTGTTGAAGAGTACTAAAAGACATAGCACTCAGGACCGTGGCTTTCTACCGATTGACTATCAACATATGACCTCCAAGCATTTGTGTCTTTTTGCACTGTTGAGAACATGTACAGCTCAACTAGGTACCATTTTATATGTACTAAAGTATGCGTTACACATGTGTTGATACCTAGTTCTCTTCTTAGAAGAAGAAGTTAATATCTATGGCTTTTGTAATCAAATGTTTAAGCTAGTAAACCCCATCTCTATTATAATTAACGATTTGAGATAAAAATATGCGTGTATGGTTGTAGTAGGACTGTTGATTCATGAAAAATGCATCTGTATTTCTTCATTGTTTAGCTGTATCCTCAGAAATTATCTACAAATGACTTCAGGTCAAAGCAGATACATAGTTTATTCCAGCTAACGCCGCCTTTGCATGTCCTTTGTAGCCAAAGGATCCAACAACCAATGAAGACAAGCTGAATATCATTTACAAAATCAACTGCAATAACTGTAGTCAGCACTACATTGGACAAAGCGGCCGCCCTCTTCGCCTTCGTCTACATGAGCACCAATTGGCTATTAAACGCCACGACATTTCATCACTCATTTCAATGCACGTGGATAACAACCATGGACATGAATTCAATTTCGACAATGTAGAAATTTTGGATAGAGAGAGGAAACACAAAGAATATCATCAGAGAATTCGTAGAAGCGTGGTATTCAGGTCAGTCAACAATCAACAGATGTATAGACATAGACCCAATCTATCCAACCAATAAGAAAGATGATAAACAACAGAAAGGTGAGAGGTGAAGCAGAGGAACAGCCAACAGGAAAGTCTATACAATCAATGACACACACAGCAATCGAAGGAAACAACCTATCACAGACCACATCGTCAGAGCAAGCTACTAAATCACTCACGGAGAGATATTGACAGCTCACTTCCTAGTGAAGTTAGTGCTGATGATGTCGTCTAGCAAGACGATGAGAGCTTCACGATTAAACAACCCAGCTCAGAGAACACAATACAACCAAAAAGAACTGGTCAGGATGAACAATATTGAGTTATCTCACCCACCATCTAACGAATTTTACTGCTGATCAGACATACGGACAAAAACAACGTAGAGCCGCGTACACAAGTTCATTGGTTCAAGTTATCATACTTCGCTGTAGTATTACAAAGAACAAGTAGACATATTTGAATAAGAGAATAAGAAATTTGAAATAATGCCTACTTGAAATATTCGAGTATTAGAGGACATCAAGAAGTGCATACAACTGCGTTTCTTTGTTACCACTTTTCAACCACATCTCTAAAAGTTCTCAACCACTGATTCCGTTGCCCGCTATCCAGGTGGATCTTGAATGCAACCTCAAGGTAGGACTCCAAGCACCTAAAACTCCAATAAAGATGTCAGCAGTCTGAAAAGAAAAAGAGTAGCATGGTTGGACGATCAAGTACCAGAGATATTTATGTTAAATGGTTAATTTCTTGTTAACTAGCGTGTGGGAGCTAGATTCATCCGCCTCTTTCTGACTGATCCCAATCACAGATTGTCCCAGTCTTCAAGAAGGGGGCGAAATCTTATCGTGGAAACCACTGGAGAAACAGCTTGATGAATATAGTATCTAAGATTCTAGGTCCTATATATATCACACTTATAAGTGGAAACTCCAGGCCAGGATATTTAAGAAAACAATACATGCTTCAGATCTGGCTATGGGCGTATCGACCAGATATTCACCCTCTGCTAAGTTCTGGAGCACAGACACACTTACCGTCCGCCGATACTGGCTATATTTCTCTACCTAAAAGCGTCATTCGAATCCATTAATCTCACTGAAAGGAGTGCCGTTTAAATACATTACTCTGTTGAAGACTCCGTATTGATATACCCATAGGTGTGTTACACCTTATGGTCAGTTGTCAAGTGAGTCATGTACATCGAATTGCATCCAATAAGGATTTCCATTCTCTCTATTTTTATTCAACTTTATCCTAGGCATTCTCATCATCCGACTTCAGAGGAATTCTTGATATCACAGGACAATCCTTAGTAGATTTAGAGTGAGCAGATGAAACAATCCTACCACGCGATGTTAAGATGATGCAGAGTCTTCTTCACCTTTCGAGTGGCAATTTGAGAATGTTTGGTATGTGTTCCTTGCCACCCGAATATAAATTTTTGCTCCCGGACTGATCTTCTCTAGTGTCTTGTTTAATAGTAGGGAATGAAATGGTTGACCACATGAACCACTCCATCTACCAGGGAAGTCGATTCGACCATGCTGGGTCAGTGACTGACGAAATCTCTTCATGGATAAAAAGGCTCATTGGGCTTTTTCCAACAAACGCCATTTTCGGTGCCACCATGATATCCAATTTTCTATGAAGGATTGAGTATCCTTCACTGCAGTTCCCTTTGTTCTACTGTATGGCTGTGAAATATGGCCATTAAGAATTGAAGACGTGAAAAGGCTCCAGGTATCCAACCACCGTTACCTTCGTAGCGGAGACTGCGCATCGTGGTGTGATCACGTGAATAACGTAGAAGTCAGACGAAGTGTTTCGAGCAGAAGAGGAAATTCAGTTGATAAGATTGACAACCTTCATCAATTGAGACGACTGGGATATGTTACGTATGCCTAGTCACTGTCTGCCTCGTCGCAGAATGTTAACTGAAGTAGGCTCAGGCTGGAAAAAGCTTAAAAGTGACCAGATTAAAACGCGGCACCAGTTTTTGACTGTTGATCTGAGCCCCGTAGGGAAATGTAGACTTTACAGTTGGTATCAACTAGATAATGGAAACAAACAGTTGTCGATTCTTGGTGATATGTCCTGGAACCGATTTCAATGATGCAGGTGTGCCCATACATTATCCTCATATTAATCGTTAAACTGAATTTTACTACACTGAATATTCCCATTTAGACATTTAGAAAAAGACTGATTGAGCGAAGAAATATATTCCTTTTCAATTAGGTGTTCATCTTGGGCTCTACACTAATATATGTGGGTTTACAATTGAATCAAATTACCAATCAAGTGGTGGTGTTTTAGAAATAATGATGTAAATAATCAATAGAATTACTAAAACTGGAAATATGAATATTGATAGAAACAAGAAGGGGAAGGGTGTACAAAGTAAACCTAGAAGTTACATCATGTTGACGTCCACGGTAATGAAAGTGGTCGAACAAACTTCTTTTAGATACAAAGGCTAGTTTTGTAAAGGTGGATTGTAATCGCCTCTGCTATGTGAAGTAAGCGCGAGTGCGTAATCCATGAGGTAAATTGATTGGAATCTGATGGATGATTTTGAAGGCTTTCCCGGTAACCACTTGGTGTCCTGTATCAACTAAGTGTGCAAGTATGGAGCTCTCTATAGTTCTAATTTGTCCTACTTGTTATATGTTGATCACTTTCTTCCACTTTTGGCTTCTTTCTTCTTTGTTTCTTGATCTTTCGTCTTGGTGCATTCTTGTCTAATTCGCTCAGCATAATAAATGGCCATTTCAAACAATACACCTACCTATGAGTTATGATGACAAATGGTTGTGGAAATATATAATGGTTTTGCACCTATCGTTTATGTTTTTTTCGCTCTATGCAGTGTTATTACAGTCTTATTCCACTTGATGATATATTAGTAGTAAGCGTAAGCTAAAGTTATGCAAGGTAATAACATATCATCGTATTGATACACTGCTGAGGAGTCCCATACTAGGACGAAACAGCTGTACAGTGCTCCCAGGTTTCCTTTGTTGCTCCAGCTGATGTCAGTCTACGATGAATAGCAACTTGAAATAATTCCAAGTCTCCACAACTCCCTCAAAATTTGATATGAAACTAGTTATTTTCATCTTCATTCATTTTACATATTATTGTTCATCTGAAAGACTCACTTTAATAATATATACAGGTTTCATCGTTCTAGGTACACATTCATTGCAGTTGAATATATAAAAATCATAGACAATTCATGCTTATATGTCTCCCTTTTTATCTTCCATTCATTCCACTAGAGATTCGAATACATCTTCAACAGTTTATGGTGATAGAATCCATAAATCCATACCTTCAGTGTTATATTACTGTTGTTTGGTATTGACATACTAAGCGACAAACAGCTTATTCATTATTCAATACATGATATAGCAAACTTGTTTAGTATGCGTTAAAGCTACCTTGTAATTTTAAATTCTTATTTACCATTTTCGATTTCTAAAGTTTATTTCCAATAATTTCTTCTCTGCTAGTTAACTGAAATGGCTTCACTTGCACAAGCAGAAATGGATTTGGTTATTCTACCGGGATTTTCTCAGTCTGTGAGTTAATAAAAAAAACTATTAGAGTTTAGTCTGTTGTTTTGATTTGCTGTAGATAATTCTACCACTCTCCGGTGTGTTGCAATCCATTGACTGCGGTGCGAAATAAATCGCAGATATAAATCATCCTCATTGAAATTATCAGTTTGCATTTTATACTACTTATGAGTAGTTTGATTTATGTACGAAAATGTTGAAGTTCTCTGGCTATCGTAGGTGGCCCAATTATTATTTACCTCTAGCACATTTAACATATGACTAGGATAGAATATCTCGAAATTGTGAACGATACTATGAGAAATGCTTCAAACACATGTTAGAACAAGTTTGTTCTAATATACCGTTCTATATACACAAGTAAAAAACGCCCTAGTGTTTCGAAACTACTCAGTATTTAGTTCTTCTCAAGTCTCTGTTGTCTGAGAAACATGCGATTATCAAGCTGGAAATCACTCTCAACAAACAGTGAAACTTCTGATGTCACATTACTATTTCTACAAAATCATCTCTACCTTTACTCAATTAGATATTATTTTCATATTTCTTTCAGGAACAAAAAATGATCATATTAACTGAACAGAACACAAAACATGCTTTACATAATTTCCCTAGGATTTACAAAAATAATTATGTTTCAATTGGAACAGATCTCGCACAAATTCAGGTTTCGAGAAAGTGAACAATATATAACTCTCATACGAGACATTCGACATGACATTCAGTATAGCTCAAAAAGCTTCAGAAACGGGTGAGCTATATCACCCTACATTCCATTAGATCAGGCCAATAAGGTCAACTTTGAATCCTCAGAAGGGATTCAAAAATTTCAAATCAGAATCTTTTAGCATAAAATGGAATCAAGATTGTCTAAGTAAGGATCAGAAAGGAAACAAAGGTCACCTAACTTCTTACAATCGCCCTAAACTGACATAACCACAACATGTGTGGTAATTGTTATGATCCGGAGTTGTGGGAACGAATGAAAATACTTAACGATTGATAGTTGAGCGTTGAGACGATTCAACTCGAGTGATTCGCAAAGAGGAATCAAAAGACAGGAAATCAGATAAGTTTATAGTGTTTCGGACTGAAAACGTTTATGAGTGAAAATGGACCCTATTTATAGAGTTTACAGTAACCTTGAAAGACAAGGGATGATTAGTACATTTAAAGAGGCAGGAGCCAATCAGAACAATGGCGGGTCATACGAAATATGATTCATGCACGGGAAAAGACCGCGAATAAACCAGTTCAAATATATGCAAACTGTAAGTGTGGAATATAAGGGACATAGGCCATCCCTAACAGTAATAACCAATAGCACATGCAAGCATAAATTTGTAATTCATACACGTACTACACCTAATCGACAACATAAGGCTTTTGTTTCATCAACAAGCTTACAACGGAGTATCATTCTTGCAGAAGAACACTGGATGAGTTGTCTTATATAAACCTTGATATTATAAGTCCCGCTTTACTGTTACATCGATAAATCCACTAACAATATAGAACGCAACAGCTTGTATGATGTCGATGAACAGGAGTTACGTGCCATACATTCATAGTTACATCCAAGCAAAAACCTTATTAGAGGGAATAAGGAAATGGTCAAAAGTTGAATCTCACACTTCAGTTAGTGGAGAGTCAGGTAACCCAGGTTTTCATTTTTCATTCAATCACTACTCTGTGTCATGAATATTGAAGCGAAGAATAATGCTCACTGATACGCGGTTATGATTGGAAGTGAGATAAAAGTTTCGCCGAATAATAGGTTCTCAACCAGTTGCTTCCAGACTACCGGCCCAGTTCCTTACCAGCTTAGCCTTTAGGAGTGGTTGCTGATCAGGTTTTGACGTCAATTGGCAAGTGTTGTGCTTGGATATTACATGATTGCAAGATGCGTAATTATCCCCTCATCGTAATCATTTATCTGATTCTTGAGTTCTTTTTAGACTATTAACTCTAAGTTGGTCATCTAGGTTCATATTTGCGAAGACATGAAAGTGTGTTGATTGATTACTGAAGAGTAACCAGTTTCATGTTACCTAGTTTTAAGTGCTCCTCGTTTTCTGTCTGTCATTTTGTGGCATGATCACCAAGCTGGGTGACTGAGCATCATGTTCCACTCGGATTGATGTTAGATAGCAACATGTCTGACTACAACAGTGGCTGACAACGGGCTCTAACGGCAGTTCCCTTGAAGTGGCAGATAAGCCTTGCTGACGAGTGCTGAAGAGCTCGAAACCTAGGTCAAGCATAACCTTCTGTTAATTGCCTCTCACCAATTAACATATGAAAATGTCTTTATTCTAGACAAATAATCAAGAATAGTCGACAATGAGGGGTTAAATTGGTTGTCGGGTATTGAAAAGGCAATAATAATAGTTGTTTCTTATCAACAGATAGAGGTGATAAGGGTGACCCCAAGAATTCTCACTATACAATCCGATTTGAGTTGTAGCTTGACATAATTCAATCAATCATCAGAAAACTACACTGACTGAGTGCTATTCAATGCATAATAAGTAAAACTCTATGGAAAAATGATTTACGTCGATTATTCCGGTGCATTTAAGGTTCGTACAGTTTTCTTGAATGTTCTCGATTATGGACCATTATTCGTCAACACTTACCTAATTTAGAAGTAGTATTCATCATGGACTGAAATCAGTTGGGGAACCATTGAAAATCCGGGAGCACTGGACAGCTGTTTCGTCCTAGTATGGGACTCCTCAGCAGTACACACCCACGACCCGGCTAGGGGGCGAACTCAGGACCTCCAGGTTTCACGCCGAACGCATCAACCATTCAGCCAGTGAGCCGGTTTCCAGTGGTTCACAATTTCCAACTTCTGTCAATTCACGACATAGCGCGACTGTCACCCAAAGTCTTCAGTTAGCATCCACTTCACTTCCGACCGGTTGACCCCACAGGTCACGGCTTCTCATTAGAACTTGCTGACATCCATCTGGAAGCAAGTCACTAAAGAGCCCTATAGAGTAATGCATTTTTGAGATGAATGAGGATTTTAATTTAGAAGTAGTATTCATCATGGACTGACAGAAGTTGGAAATTGTGAACCACTGGAAACCTGCTCACTGGCTGAATGGTTAACGCGTTCGCCTTGAAACCTAAAGGTCCTGAGTTCGACCCCTAGCCAGGTCGTGGGTGCATACTGCTGAGGAGTTCACACTAGGACGAAATAGCTGTCCAGTGCTCCCAGATTTTCAATGGTTCCTCGACTGATGTCAGTCCATGATGAATACTACTTCTAAATTAAAAATCCCCATTCATCTCAAAAATACATTGCCTACCTAATTCATAGAACGAAAGACGTTTAGCAAAGAGTTACTCTTTTCAGTGGTATCATTCTCAAGCTGTACAGTCGCATATATATATATATATATATATATATATATATATATATATAAATTCACATTGTAACAGAAAAACGGTTTCATGAAATATTTTTGAACGGAGTTCAGGTATGATTTAAAATCAGATTACAAGGGAAATTACGTAATGTTTGAAATAGTAATGTGAAGAAGACTTACCAAAATCGGATTAATATTTGGTTACTAAATTAAATGATGTAATATGGTGAATGCAAAGAGAAATCAGAATTATAGGAGTGGAGGAATATAATATGTGAGACGATCTGAATGAAGAGATTTTTGAAGATAGAAGTTTTCTTATAGGTTATATCCATTGCAACTTAAGTGACTGGACAAATTTCTTTTGAACGTAGAGTGCAGACTTCAAAGTATTAATTATTGCCAAGGCTTCCACAGTTTGAAGGAGTTTTTGGCGTATACCTTTCGTGAGATTTGTGCGAACTCTGTAGATGACCCTAAAGCTGTTTTCTGCACTTACCGGGTGATTATAATTGGTCAGATGTTCTAGAATAGTATAGGTGTAAAACTTGGGCATTGTGGTAGAATTTAATTCCATATTAGATTTGTTTATTTGATTTATAACACACAATGATCTAGTATTATTTACTTGATGATGTTTCGAGCATAAATTATCACTCCTTATACTAATATCAATGTAATCACACAACTGTAGACATTTGATTTTTGTAGTTACTTCACTTTATATGATTAGTTTTTATTGGTAGTAAAATTTTCCATGTCTCTAGTATAGGTGTTCCTAGATTATTGATCACATTCGGGTCTGTCATTCTATGTTTGGCTAAATTCCTATGTTCGGCTATTCTAACTGACCCCGACCGGCTAGTTTGACATATGTACTTGACCTGGCAGTCATTACATGCAATTTGATAGATTAGATTATTTTGCTTAATTGGTTCCATCGGATCCTTAAGCTACCCAACTAAGTTTATGTCTGCGTGAGTTTGTAGGTTTAAATGCCACCATAATTCTAGAATAGAGCTGTGAACTGTTCTCCTTTCCCCAGTGTAGAACCAGGCTGGCATTATTCGACAGCATACTGTGTAAGTATTATTAAAAATTATACAACACGATATGAAAACACGGTGATGTTACTATTCCTTTTGTCAGATCTAGTAGGTCATCCAAATGATATCATGTCGTTTCAAAGAAGTCTCGAAAAATGAATAATTTTTTTTATTCTTTGGCTTTCAGTACTAACAAACGTATCATCCTGTTTGAAATGATGTTCTTCGCTCTACACTTTTTAGCCATAAAATTTAAAACACATACAAGGAAAGGCTCCTATGACTCAGCAGAGTGGTGAATAGTGCTAAGACGTTTAAGTTGGTAGGCGCTAGATTTGAGTCTTTATATTAACACCACTGTCACCACTACAATCCATTTATGCTCATTTGATCAGTCAATAAGTCTTGTAGAGTAGTACACAGTATGCCTTTTGAAATCTATTGTTAATCACTCTCAAACAGATAACTTTAAAATAAAACAAGGTTAAAAGCAGCATGGATGGAAGCGTTCAAAAAGAGTGCATACACTGACAGAAACCGATCATCGTGGACTGATGTCAGTTGGAGGAACAATGGAAACCTGGGAGGACTGGACAGGTATTTCGTCCTAGTATGGAACTCCTCAGCAATGCGCACCCACGACCCCACCAGGGATCGAACCCGCGACCTTCATGTTTCATGGCCACTGTCCCAGTACTTCTAGGTTTCTATTGTTCCTCCAGCTGATGTCAGTCTACGATATATACCAACTTGAAATATCTCTAAATCCCCACAAGCCCCCCAAATTCAGTTGAACTAGTGCTCATTGGTGACTAGCTTCAAGAGGTGATTCCCAATGTTGCAATGAGAAGTCGTGACCAGTGGGGCAAACCTGTTCGCCATGAGGAGAAAAACTCAACGATGACATTGGGTGGCTGTCGTGCTATATCGTGAACTGACAGGAGTTGGAAATATGGACCACTGGATTCCTATCTAGTGTCTAGCTCAATGGTAAGGTGCTGGCCACAGGACCTGAAGGTCAGGGGTTGGATCGCTGGCGGGGCAGGGTCATGGATGCACACTGCTGAGTAGTCCTAAAGTTGGATGACGCAGCTGTCGATTGCTCCCAGGTTTCTATTGTTCCTCCAGCTGATGTCAGTCTATGATGAATGCCAACCTGAAATATCTCTAAATCCCCACAAACCCCGCAAATTCAAGAAACCGATCAATTCAGGTTATAGATATCAGTAAATTCTTTCTAAAACTTACATTTAGGAAATACACAGTTCAGTCTTTTTTAAAGATTTAGGGTGTTAGCGAATGAGGGTTATATTTACTCAATTTACATTCAGAAGCGTAGCATCAAAATTCAAAAGTAATAATGATGCTATGTTGTTCTCTTGGGTTCCTAGTGGAACATAGCGCTTCAGTAGCACGCCTCCATTCCATTCTCTTCTCTGCAGTCTTTTGGACCTAGCACCATGACTGCCTACAAGCTTTCATTTCTTCCTCATATGATCTCCTCCATATCACCCTCAGCTGGGACACCCAACTCGTCATTTCCCATCTGGGTTCCACTCGACGACCTGGCGCATGATGTCCCCAATCAACCTTCTCAGTGTTCACCCAATACATCTCCACGTTCTTCTGCATATTTGTTCAGTGATAGGTTCTTGGTTGGTTGGTTCATTGTCAGGCCAGAGTTCCTTATTACTCATTCTTTTCGCCTTCTCATCTCATCTGATCTTCAGTATAGAGTGGTCGTAGTCGGCAGGTGTTGATGAATGTCTGTAGTTTCATTGGAAGTAATTTTATACATACATACATACAACATACTTGTTTCCTGTATAATGTGGAAGTTTGATATTCAAGGAAAACATTTACTATACAGAAAAATGATTGATTATTTATAATACAGGAACTTTAAAAATAAACTTTATTCACATTTCAGACTATAACTTCATCTATACACAGTCTATATCCTTATCAACATGATCTTAATGATAAATTGAACAAATATGCTTCTCGATTAAATTCAAGAATATTAGAAACGCTTACATTGAAGATTAAACAATTAGATAAGAAAATTGACTTGAATTTAAAGGATACATATATATTCTATGAAAATCAATTTATAGAAGAACAACGTATTCTTAGACAACATGAAGAAGAGCAAGAATATCATAGATTTAATTTATCAGGTAAACAATTGACTACTGAAGAAAAAGAAGAACATGAAAGACAAGAAGAGATTTTAATGGAAAATAAAAGATTAGCTGAAACATTTGATGAACATGTTAATATACGGAAAAAATTAAGAGCTGAAGAAATATTAGCTAAATATAAAAGTTAGTTTATATTTTTTTAGTCATTAGTATATATATTCATTGTTTTCAGTTTAATTTTATAATGACTATTAAAAATAAAATAAAAACTGTTTCTCTTATATCCTACTAAGTAATATTGAAATACAGTGGAATGCAGTGTTATGAAATTTCACTTAGTGGCTACATTGTGGGTTACCTATTGATGATTAAATCATGTACACTTAGACTACTATAAGAAATTACATTATGTTACCTCTAATAGTATCAGATTAACTGAAATTAGAATCATAATAAATATGCTTCATCCGAGATCTGTACTCCTCAGTAGTGCACACTCATTGACTCTTTAAGATCTCATTATTATTACTATTATTAATAATTTGTCCCTTGAGTTCCTAGTGGAACATAGAACTTCAGTAGCACACAGACATTTCACTCTCTTCTCTCTAGTCTTTTGAACCTCACTCAACCACTGCTCATAAACTTTCATTTCTTCCTCACACCATCTCCTCCATGTCACCATCAGCCGCCCAACTTGCTCTTTCCCATTTGGCTGTAAATCGATGGCCTGGTGTGTAAGGTCCCAAAATAGTCTTCTCAGTGTATATCCAATCCAATACATCTCCACTCTTTTCTTCTGAGCGATGGGTTTTTGCATGGTTGGTTCGTTGCCAGACCAGAGTTCATCCTTGCTTATTCTTTCTCGCCTTCTCATCTGATTTTCATTATGGAGCGTAGGTGGCAGGTGTTGATGAGTGTTTGTGGTATGTTGGAAATGCTTTTCGTAAGGTGTGAAGTCTCTCAACCATCAAATGGAAGCAGTGACTTTACTGACTTAGTGTTGAAAATGGAGGTTGTGTTGTTTGTGCTGAGTGCAGTGTAGTGTAGTAGATCTCCACACTGGTATCAGATTGATGAATGCCTGTCTTGCTGTCATTCCGATGTTGGCTTTGACGTTCTCATCTGTGCTGCCTGTAATTCAAAGGATGCTGCCTTTATGGGAAGGTGAAAGAGACAACTTCCTTCACATTTATCGTGTTAATGGTGATTGGTGCTTGTTGCTGGTGGTGGTGGTTGGGTATCTTCATCACTTGTGTCTTCTCTACGTTCACCTGAAGGAGGTCCCGTCTCCGCTGTCCTGCCTCTTCTGCTAAGTTGTTGGTTTTCACCTGTACATCTTCGAGTTTGTGAGACATTACACATAAGTCATTGGTGAAATCCAAATCTTCTAGGGTCTTTTTATCAGTCCAGCGTATGCTCCTTTTCTCACTCCTCACGGTTTGCTGCATGATCCAGTCGACCACATTCAGGAAGATCATGGGTAATAGTAGGCAGCCTTGTCTTACCTGTCAACCTGTCTTCACTTCAAAGGCGTCGCTGAGCTTTCGATTGTGAATCACTTGGTATATGGCATCTTCATATAACTGTTGAATGAGATTGATAAAGGTATGTGGTATACCGTAGTGTTTAAACAGTTTCCAAATTACTTCTCGATCGACTCTGTCGAAGGTCTTTTCAAAATCGGCGAAGTTGAGGTAAAGCATTGGTTGCCATTTTATGCTCTGTTTCTCCGCTTTGGTAACTAGGTTTCCTTCACTATCTTTTATTGATTTTATCTGCGTTGATCTCCTCCCAGATAATAACCTATGATTGATCATAACCTGAATAAAATATTTTTCCCTGCAGCCTTATGTGATTTGTAATATTGTAATGATTATATTTTATATGAAAATCTCAGTTGATCATTTGGTCTCTAGGTAAATTATTGGCATATTTTCACGTGTGCTGGGAAGTGACTATGCCTTAGGTATTAATAGGCAGTTGAAACACATGGGATACCAAGGAAACTGCACTGTAGCCCACATGTCAATAATTGCCGATCAATTCAGTCGATTCAATGATGGGGAATTACACCCAATGATCATTATACGAGGATTGCCAAATATATATACAAGCAAAAGTACCCGACTCAGACGTATTGTATCCATGGTTAATTCACCTTATCACGAATTGATCCTTTGTTTAGCTGAGAAGTTAGAAAGAATTTGTAGACATTCAATGGCATTCAGTCTCAAAAACTCTTTTCAAATATCGTTTGATTTAACATTTTATTCACGAACCTACCTCTTCAGAAAACCGTAGATATAATATGCCACCTATCCGGATCTTCTCTCCATGCCAGTAGCAGAGTTCAGACGCCTTCATGTTATGTGTACCAAAGATGTTTAGTTCCTATTTAACAAGAAAGCTTACCGACAGATTTATGGGGTAGCTATGGAGAGCTCACTGGGTCCTGTATTGACGGATATCTTCGTAGCCAATTTTGAGAATACAGATCGTAAAGATGCAATCGGTGAAGTAATATTCCCCAGTATAGATGTCAGTGATACTTTTATTGTTTCGAACAATTTATTCCATGTATCCCATTTGTTAGGAAATTTTAATACTCTCATAACAACGCTAAATTTATCATGGAATCCGAAAATTATGGAAAGTTCGATTTCATTGATATCACCTTACAACGTAAGATAGATGTTCTACTTCAAAGATCTATTCATCGAAAATGTATCTGGAATGGTGCCTAGATGAATTGTGATAGCTTTTTTCCCATTAACTATAAACAAGGATTGGTTAAAACCTTATTTGACAGACTTGAAATGATATTACGGTGATAAAGTAGAGGAAGAGTTGCGAACAGTCAAAAGATGACTACCGGAACAATGGTTATCCAGAAGTATTTATCAATGGATATGAAAAAGATGAAGGTAAAAGTTGTAGAAATATACATTAAGCAAAGGCTTGTATTCATTCACCTCAATTTCAAAGGTGATGACATTACAGGAACTATTATTAGAGGATTGAACATATCACTGGCTAGAACTTTCAGTAAAGCTTAGTTAATTCCTGTGTGTCAAACAATGTGTTCTTTTGTCCGGTCAAAAGTTGACAGGTACCCTTTCTGTGTTAACTCTAACTGTGTGTATCAATTTATCTGTAGCCGTGGAAGCAGATACACTGGAAGAACAGAAAGAAGGGTATATCTTAGGATTTCTGAACACATTTTGAGGAGCTTACGACTAAAAAGAAGTAACACTAAACGGCGCAATCACTTGACATCTGATTGACAATGAACAATCGGCAGACATCTTCAGTTCCTTTAGTTGTAGCAAACAAATGAGTTCAAGTCTCGTGATGTTTGGTGAGACCATATCCATCAAACGCCTAAAACACATGATAAACATTATGATACCTTTTTTTTCTATGCATAAGTAATACAGAAGCATATGAGACTGATTTGATTTAATGGAAATAATCTAAGTGAAAATCTAAGAGCTATTTTTCCACACACTTTATTTGGTCATATGGCCAGAAAGAATAAGCAACAAGGAACTCTGGGAACGAACCAACCAAGAACCTATCACGCAACAAATATGCAGGAAGAAGCGGAGATGGATTGGGCATGCACTGAGAAGGCCGACTGGGGACATCACGCGTCAGGCCCTCGAGTGGAATCCCCATGGGAAGCGACGAGTTGGACGTCCGAGGCAAGGGTGACATGGAGGAGATCGTGCGAGGAGGAAATGAGAGCTTCTGGGCTGTCGTGGAACCAGGTTCAAAAGATCTCAGAGAACAGAGGTCACTGGAGACGTGCTACTGAAGCCCTATGTTCCACTAGGAACCCAAGGGACTAATAATAATAATAATAATAATAATAATAATAATAATAATAATTTGGTCATTAGATTCTGACTTAATGACTGACTCTTAATGTGAAGTCATGGCACGGTATAGATCCTTAACAAGGTGGTGGATATTCTCTGCTGAATGGTCTCAAACTATTATGAAATAGCTGTTCATTGCTTTATGGTTTTTAATGATTCTCTGGCTATTATTGATCCACAATGGTTTCTCATTTATTTAAAATAGTTTAATTCAGATCAAAGTCGGTTTCACAAATTTAATTACCCATAATAATCCATATATTTAGTTGATCCATTGAAAACAGAAGACAAAGATTTAGTTTCTCTGCCTGAAGTCGATGAGGTTGAACAAGTCATGGACACTATCAACTCAGATGAGTTTGAGTAAGTTAATATGTATCATGCTTTCAAAGATAATTAATTTATATAATTTATAAAAGAAAATAATGTTGGATAAACTTTAGAAAAAGACATTTAGATGCTTACCTGCGCTGACCAACAAGTTTAGCTGGTTTAAATATCCGATTATATAAATCAATGCTGTCTAGATACACATTGGTGACTACTTCCATAAAAAACGTGTTATCAGATCAATCTAACTTGGCTGAAAAACACTGTTGTTGACTACAATAGATAATTGTATAATTAATAGGCTCTTGATGCCATCATTTGACTATTAAGTTAAACCTGAAAGCCATGACAGTCTGTAATAGTCATGCGACATTTTCCAATGACAACAAATTACAAGTGATAACATTGAAACAATACCCGATGAGTCAGTAGGAACAGTTACTCACTGGAAGGAAGGCAGGTACATCCATCTGACAAAGGAAGTTCTCTTGTGATAACCACAGAGGAATCAGTCTGACGATCATAGTATCTAAAGTTCTAGGTTCCATGATTCTTCGACGCCTGTGTGGAGTTCGGGAAAAGCAACTTCGAGAAAACTAGGCAGGATTTAGACCTAGCTGCGGATGTATTGATTAAGAATTTACACTGCGCCAGGTTCCGGAACACACTCACGCTTACTAACGCCCGACAATAGCTGTATTTGTCGATCTGAAGGCAGCATTTGACTCCATTGATCGAGAAGTCTTAATGCAATGTCTGTCACTGAAAGGCATGACCAGTAAGTATATCACCTTATTGAAGGCTCTCTACTCGAACATTTATGGGCATGTGGCCTATGATGAGATTTCCGGGGAGCTGTGCTCATCGAATGGTGTCCGTCATGGGTGCCCACTCTCCCCATTCTTATTCAACTTTATCGTAGATATTCTTATAGAGGTCTCTCTGCTCACCTGACTACACAGCGGTTGACCTAATCACAGGAGAATTTCCGTTAGACCTAATATACTTAGGTGACATAGTCATGTTAGGTGAAGACGCTGACAAGATGCACAGTCTTCTGGAGACTTTGAGTGGGAATTCGGGAATCTTTGAGACGGGGTTCTCACTACCCAAATGCAAATTGTTACTCCAGGACTGGACTTCAACAGTGCCTCGTCTAACAATAGAGAGTGTAGTGGTTGAGTGTGTTGACCAATCCACTTATCTGGGAAGTAGGAATAGCCCTAACGGCTCAGTAATCGACCAAATTTCTGCAAGAATAAAAAGGCCCGGCTGGCTTTCGTCAACTTACGCCAAGTGTGGCGCTGTCGCGATACCCGGTTGTCAATTAAGGGTGGCGTGTACTACACAGCAGCCCGCTCTATCCTACTGTGTGGCTATGAAACATGGCCATTCAAGGTGGAAGACATGAGAAGGCTTCCAGTGTTCGACCACCGTTGCCTTCGTAGTATAGGCCGTATTCCGTGATATCACTACGTGAGTAACGCAGAAGTGAGGCGTAGAGTTTTAGAGAGGGAGAAGAGGTCAGCCAGTTGATGCTGTTGTGAATCTTTATCTACTGAGATGGTTGGGACATGTGTAACCTGTGCCTAGTCACCATCTGCCTCATCACACGATGTTGGTCGCAGTAGGTCCAGGGTGGAAAAAGGCCCGAGGTGGCCAGACTAAAACATGGCACCAATATATGAAGTTATTGACTATTGGCTTGAGCCATATGGGGGGCGATGCAGACTAGGTGGTTGGAATCCGCGGGACAAGAGGAACCAGTGGTTGGAGACTGACTCTAGGTAATATTATGGCTCAGAACCGATGTCGGTGGTGTAGATGTATACCCACATTATCCTCATCCCAACGCTTTACCAAATCTCACCATTTTCTCATTCTTCGTTCCTCTCTTTTAGTACTTTATATTTCGTTCGACTGAATTTTCTTATCTTCATCTTCCACTTCACTGCCTTTTTACTTGATGTAGTGATATGAGGTGTGGCAACTTGAACTTTTACGCAGAAATGACTGGTTCTATGTTGATTTGGATGGATGATGATGATGATGACATCCATCTGACAACTATTAAACAAAACGAAACACGCATCTTTGATTCCATTGCTAGGCATTATCCATCATTCATATCAAATTTGAATCTTGGGCAATATCAAGGCAACTGCGCTGGAGCTCATATGCCAAGGTTACCGATCAGTTCAATCCAGTCAGTGATGGTTTTCTCAGACATATGTTATGCCTGCTGAAGAACCACCTACTTCTATAAGCTTTACTGACTATTATCCTCCACTGCTAAACTTATGATATGATAGATCGGCGAGATACTTTCGAAAAGATACGTAGGTATTGAATATCTTTGTTATCAAAATGATTTCAGTTGAAAAGGGAGTGTAATACATACTGTTCGCGTCTTTTCAACTATAGCACTCATTATGTTCTGACAATGATTGGGATGCAGTTAGGTCTGTTTAATTAGTTAAAAATTAGAAGCGAAATACACTGAAGGATTCTTCTTGTTAGTCACAAGTCTACACTTTATATTAGAACAACCAACTCTCGGAGTAAAAGCAGTTATTCACTGATGGCACTAGATGATGGTTGCACTATATCGTAAATGAACAGAAGTGATGGAAAGTGAATCTTTGAATTCTAACCCCATTGGCTGAATGCCAAAGTGCTCACCGTAAGATCTGACAGCTGGTAGACTCACCTCTTGTGAGAGTGAAGGTGTACACCACTGAAGAGTCTCGAACTATGTCGACATAGCTGACCAGTAATGACAAAATTTCAATGGTCCTCAAATGATAATAATCCAGGATAAAAATTAGTTGGTAATACTATTGAACTTTTGTGTTGCTAGACCAGTCACCACTCCTTCATATACATATCATATTACTTCATCGTAAAATGACAGTGGTTAACCAATAAACAGGATGGTTGTCAGTTAACTATTGACCTACCGAGCTTCATGGTTTCTTGCTTCATTTAGAAATAGGAAGGCGTAATCAGAAACCAGGTTCACATTCAAATTTATTGTTGTTGTCATTATTTGTCCCTTGAGTTCCTAGTGGAATGTAGGGCTTCAGTAGCACACAGATATTTCACTCTCTTCTATCCAGTCTTTTGAACCTCACTCAACCACTGCTCATAAACTTTCGTTTCTTCCTCACACCATCTCCTCCATGTCACCATCAGCCGCCCAACTCGTTCTTTCCCATTTGGCTGTAAATCGATGGCCTGGTGTGTAAGGTCCCAAAATAGTCTTCTCAGTCTATGTCCAATCCAATACATCTCCACTCTCTTGTTCTGAGTGATAGGTTTTTGCATGGTTGGTTCGTTGCCAGACCAGAGTTCTTCCTTGCTTATTCTTTCTCGCCTTCTCATCTGATTTTCATTATGGAGCGTAGGTGGCAGGTGTTGATGAGTGTTTGTGGTATGTTGGAAATGCTTTTCGTAAGGTGTGAAGTCTCTCAACCATCAAATGGAAGCAGTGACTTTACTGACTTAGTGTTGAAAATGGAGGTTGTGTTGTTTGTGCTGAGTGCAGTGTAGTGTAGTAGATCTCCACACTGGTATCAGATTGATGAATGCCTGTCTTGCTGTCATTCCGATGTTGGCTTTGACGTTCTCATCTGTGCTGCCTGTAATTCAAAGGATGCTGCCTTTATGGGAAGGTGAAAGAGACAACTTCCTTCACATTTATCGTGTTAATGGTGATTGGTGCTTGTTGCTGGTGGTGATGGTTGGGTATCTTCATCACTTGTGTCTTCTCTACGTTCACCTGAAGGAGGTCCCGTCTCCGCTGTCCTTCCTCCTCTGCTAAGTTGTTGGTTTTCACCTGTAGATCTTCGAGTTTGTGAGACATTACACATAAGTCATTGGCGAAATCCAAATCTTCTAGGGTCTTTTTATCGGTCCAGCGTATGCTCCTTTTCTCACTCCTCACGGTTTGCTGCATGATCCAGTCGACCACATTCAGGAAGATCATGGGTAATAGTAGGCAGCCTTGTCTTACCTGTCAACCTGTCTTCACTTCAAAGGCGTCGCTGAGCTTTCGATTGTGAATCACTTGGTATATGGCATCTTCATATAACTGTTGAATGAGATTGATAAAGGTATGTGGTATACCGTAGTGTTTAAACAGTTTCCAAATTACTTCTCGATCGACTCTGTCGAAGGTCTTTTCAAAATCGGCGAAGTTGAGGTAAAGCATTGGTTGCCATTTTATGCTCTGTTTCTCCGCTTTGGTAACTAGGTTTCCTTCACTATCTTTTATTGATTTTATCTGCGTTGATCTCCTCCCAGATAATAACCTATGATTGATCATAACCTGAATAAAATATTTTTCCCTGCAGCCTTATTTGATTTGTAATATTGTAATGATTATATTTTATATGAAAATCTCAGTTGATCATTTGGTCTCTAGGTAAATTATTGGCATATTTTCACGTGTGCTGGGAAGTGACTATGCCTTAGGTATTAATAGGCAGTTGAAACACATGGGATACCAAGGAAACTGCACTGTAGCCCACATGTCAATAATTGCCGATCAATTCAGTCGATTCAGTGATGGGGAATTACACCCAATGATCATTATACGAGGATTGCCAAATATATATACAAGCAAAAGTACCCGACTCAGACGTATTGTATCCATGGTTAATTCACCTTATCACGAATTGATCCTTTGTTTAGCTGAGAAGTTAGAAAGAATTTGTAGACATTCAATGGCATTCAGTCTCAAAAACTCTTTTCAAATATCGTTTGATTTAACATTTTTATTCACGAACCTACCTCTTCAGAAAACCGTAGATATAATATGCCACCTATCCGGATCTTCTCTCCATGCCATTAGCAGAGTTCAGACGCTTTCATGTTATGTGTGCCAAAGATGTTCAGTTCCTATTTAACAAGAAAGCTTACCGACAGATTTATGGGGTAGCTATGGAGAGCTCACTGGGTCCTGTATTGACGGATATCTTCGTAGCCAATTTTGAGAATACAGATCGTAAAGATGCAATCGGTGAAGTAAT